CTCAAGTACCAATGTTGTATTAATGCTTGATGTTGTCTGTTGTAGTTGATGGAGATCCTCATTTTGTGGTCCAGCTGCCAAAGGTGCATCAAAACTTGTGTTTCACAGTAGACGGCAGGGCTAATGATGTTCTCAGACTGTTAGAGGACCCAAAGAGAGGTATGCTTAGAAATAAGATGTATAGATATACACTGAATAAGAGCAAGTAATATATGTCACTACAGAGCTAGCGTTGAGTTTTTAGGTGTATTATTAAACGTGTGTTCACTTCCTCCTCAAGGGATCATTGTCGATGGCCACCTAATGGGGGCCCCCTCCAAGCACGGTGTAGAAGACCGCCCCCGAACCTACTTCGACCAGCTTACCATTTCCTCGGCCACAGGTGGCTCTGGTGACATCACGATCACCCTCTCACTGGACGCCGTAGTGGTGGAAGGGGAAGGGCGGGATATCCTTCCCATCAATCAGCAGGGGTCTGTGAAGAGGCAGGGTGTGACGGTGTCTGTGGACAACCATCGGAGCTGCTGGGTCGAGCTGGCCAAGGATGTACGGTTCCTGGTCCTCTTCCACCACTATAAACACCCCAGCTACCTACAGATGGCTCACCTGGGTTTTTACATCACAGATGGACGGGGATTGTCTGCTTCAACCCAAGGCCTGCTGGGTATGTACAGCTCTTCACTGTCAGCTCTCACTGATGTCACTCACTGTGCTGCAATGGTGGAAGAAGTACTCACATCCTTTACTTAAATGTTTTGGTTATAAAACAGTTTAAATCATTTAATATTAATGCCTCTATATGATTCACACATCTTCTTTCAGGGCCGCCAGTATCAACACAAAATGTTGGGGCTTTAAGTAAAAATACCAATTCAAAAATGTAAAATGACTCTGTTAGTAGCAGTACTAAGTACTGTGGTCATAAGAAGGACCAGTGTGCAGGATTTAGTGGCATCTAGCTGTGAGATTGCAGATTGCCCACTGAAAATCCTTGACTCAACCAAGAATCAATCAAGAAAAAAACGCTGGTGACTGCAAAACAACTTGATTTGTCCATTCTGGGCTACTGTAGAAACATGGCGGTAGCTACAACATGACACACTATGTAGAAGAGGTAACAAAAACACAACAATTCTTATTTTCAGGTGAATATACACTAATGAAAGTATACCTATTAATATTATACTTAATTTCTGCCAGTAGACTCTCTTAAATATTACAGTGAAGTTGGTTGAGTGGTGAAAGGAAGAGATCTCTGAACTGTTTAACAATAAGTTCTTTATTTTCCTTCTGTCTATTAAACAGTGGATTTTCAGTGCAGATTTAAAAAAAACAAACAACAAAACTAAATTAAAATGAAATATAACTGGGGAAAAAAACTTAAAAAGGTATCTAAGAGAAGAATTTGGGATTTATCCATTACCCAATAAACAACCTTCATAAGTTCATGGTTAATAATTACATTGTGTGTGTGATAAATAATTAAAAGAGTAAAAATCCGCATATCTTCCAAGCACCTCCCATCCACCCCTCATCCATATCACACTTGGCACAATCCCCAGGAACTTTACCATAAAAGGAGTCCAAATGGGTGGGAACTGGTTTGGCAGTTCCTGGGACCAAACCAGAGGATGGCCAAGTGCAGTCTAGAGGAGAGGCAAGAGACACAAAAATTAATCATATGATGATGTTAGAAACCCAACATTTTTCAGTCTTTTCTTCAAGATATCATGTATCAATGCACAACATAACACTATTAAAATGAACAGGTTTCACCTCCTGATCTGTACTAATTACCAAACAACCCAGACACCTGCTGGCTAGATGGTATGTAAAAGGGACAGAGGTGGACTAGCACTATATATTGTGTTTTATTTGAGTTAGAGGTTATGGGGCATCCTTGGGACAGTTACAAAAAACAAAGTTATGTTATGCATTTTTACAGCTTTCTCATATTCTTGCTTTTTATGTGAAATACTCAGTACTTCTTTACCTCTTTAGGCCTTGAGCCGTTTTTTTAAATGAAACAACTCAGACTGAACTGTGAGAATAGGCAGAAGGGGTCACAAGACAAAAAATTTGGGAACCACTGATTTAAACTTAAACATGTTGTATTTTATAAGTTTGTTGTAGGTTTTATTATGTAAAAGAACAAAACGCTAGCTTAAAAGTAGTAACTATATCATTCAGTAAAAGTTAGAAATGCAGTACCTCTGTTTTATACTTTTGCACTTAGTTACTTTCCACCTTCCTTTGTTTGTCTACAGGCCAGTTTCAGCACGCTGACATCAGTGTAACCGCAGTGAAGGATTACCTGGATGGAGGTGCTAACAGGGAGTCAATTTCAGCCAGGGGGATCCTGAGGTGGGGATCAGAGCACATGCCAGTCACCTTGCAGGACAAGACTCTGAAAGACACTGTGCGGAAACGCCACACAGGCAAATGCTGGGTGGTGCCCAAGGCAGAGATAGAGAGACTACTGGGTCATCCATACGAGAGCTACGTGGTGGATCATGTGTAATTCTAGCCGAGTCAGCTCCACCTTGTTCCCTCTCTGCTACACAGCTCAGTTGACAGCAGTTATGATGGTGTGGTTATTGGACAAAGGATGAGCAAGAACTGGGACTCCGTCAGGCTATAATGACATGTTGCCAGTCTCTGAATGAGACTGTATTATTCTGTAAGGAGCAGTGAAACACAGGTGTGGTTACATAAGAGGGGAGTGACAGATTTAGAGACTACAGTGAATAGGAAAGCTGCATGTAAAGGAGTAATGAGGACGTACAAGTCGACAAATATAATGACGGACTGAATGACGCTGCTGTTCTCTCCATCACTGAATTTCGAATTGCATCCAAGCTCCGTGTTCTGTGAGAGAGACAATGTTCTCCTGTTCGCATGGCAACCGCAAAATGTCCATTTGTGCTGCAGCAGTTTGCTCCAAAATGTTGTGCACACTAACCCTGTTCACAACTTCCAAGATATTTATCAGATTATTCTTAGATTTCATCCTGGAGTGATAATTAGGCAATGCCAGATCCTTCTACTTCTGAATCATCTGTAATTATTAAAACTGTATCATTCTGTAAGTTGTATTTTTTTAGTACCAGTGTATATAAAATATTATTGTGTGTATGTATAGATAATCTTCCTACAACAAGTTATCTTCTTCAAAAGAAAAACAACAAAATCAGGGTTTCCAGGTTTGCCATGTGCTTTTTATTTTTCTATCATTTCATTCATAGTTTAATTCATTTTATTTGTTACACAAGACATTAGGCATTGTTCACATACTAGTGATCAAACAAGGACAGTAAGTTTTCTACTACTCAGCCTGAACTATTTCTTTTGTCAATTTCAAGGGATATTGTCAATAGTGGTTTCCAAAGGCCAAACTGGATGGAAATTAAAACAGTACAACCACACATGAGGCTTTTGTTTTCAATAAATAAAAAAAGAGATGACAGTTTCCGATGCTGAGGAAGGGCGGGGTAGGGAGGGCTTCAAATATATCTATGTTCAAAGAGTAAACAGTATTCCAGTTTTTGTCAGGTAACATGTTTCCAGGATGAAGACCACACACAATGTTGAATGATGCACAGTGTGAGAACAGTTGTGAACACACAGCTGTATAGATTTTGATTTCAGCTCCATGACTGACTGTTGCTGTTATCCTTCCATTAAAACCTGTTTCTTAGGAATGCTAATAATCATATTAAATCGTGATGCAGCACTGGAATGATCATAACACATGACACAGCAAATAACAAACAAAATAATAATTTTCGGTGTGCGTCAGAATCCATTTTATCATCAGAAACATAAACTAATAGCATAGCATATTCAGCGTTTGACATAAACCTTTCCACAATACGTCAGTGAAATTCAAATAAATAGAGCATAACAATAAGACACGTCAACACCCCAAACACGCCATGACTTTGTTTAGAGTTGTTAAGGGATTTGTCGTGGTGGAGAAAGTGAAATTGAACTGCTTTAGTTCAGAAAACTATTAGAGCGTCTCATCTGTTTGTTGCTGATGTACAAGCCAAGCCACAGATCAATCTGGCTGTGAGTGAGCGTGCACTGCAGGGATATGAGGAACTGCCTCGGCTCAGGTGTACAGTAACAGCCCTGATGTGGTAGAAAACAATATCCCTTCTATAGTATTCAGTCTGATCTGCAGAGCGACGCACACTACCAAACATTGTCAGCGAGTTGTGCCAATAACAGCGACACCATTTTTGGCTGACCTGCCACAACAGTTAGTTAAAACAAAGCAGTCCATTTTTTGAAAGGGCCCAGACGTTTGAATAAGACCCCAAATTAAGGCTAAAACCAAATAAAAGCGTTTTGGTTCATTCTTGTGGGGCGGCACCTGTAAATGTGGCTTCATACCTTTCGCTATGCTACAAAGTCATTTAAAGTTATGGGAGTATCCAGCTTTTCCCTCTATTAACAACTATAATTTTTCCATAAGATTTAGTCCCTAGGGGAGTGACTTATCTAAATGACATACACAAGGGTTGAAACAACCAAGACACGATCTGGTGCTTTCACTATGAGCCGAAATTTCAGTCTTCGCCCTCTTCACTTAAAAGTGAAACCTTCCAAACGTCGAATCCAAAACATTCCCCACATACATTCTTCTACCCCATGGCACACCTCCTCGCATCCTAACAAGTACAATTTGCCATAATCCGTTTGTTTTCACCACCAAATCTTCCAGAATACTTCATAGAAAGCCTCGCTTAACACTTCAAACATCCTCTCCATGCCTCTTTCGCTCCTGACATTCCCTTTTTTTTAATGTTCAACTTGAAGACCACAGTTTCAACCTCAGCTCTGTAAACTTCATAACTTCAGCCAGTGAAATGTGCACCAAATATATAGAAATAAAACTCTTCAATAATTTAAAATGTTAGAAAGTAAACTATTCAAATTCAAAATTGACATCACACAACAGAGATAAACAAAGGAACAGTTTTTTTTGGGGGGNNGGGGGGGGGGGGGGTGTGACAGTTAATAGCCACTGGTTAGCTTGCCTGCTAGCACAGGGAACACAACAGCATTGCAAAGTGAGCACTATCAGTTGACAGAACAGCCCATTTATATGTAATTTTTCATCACATTTTTTTTGCCTGACCAACAGATTTTGCCAAAAGGAGCGGCGTCTTTTGAAGTAACACAGGTAAAAGACCAAGTAAGAGAAAAGTGAAAGCAGGGTTGACAGGAGCGATACGTGGGATGGTCCAGCCTTCATACAGCAGTGTCATTTGAGTCTATGTACAATACTACTGTGTGTAAAAGATGCATGCATGTCAACTGGAGGTGACCCTTCCAGAGGATTCTACACTAAGCCATTACAGATCTCTCATGTCAGAGCTCGCAGTCTGGATCTCTCAATGCCATCAATCCTCCCTCCACCCAACCTCTGATATGAGGAGAAAGACGTTACAGAAAGAATGAAATGCTTTGAAAATCGCCAACAACAAGTAATAAATTCACCTCTAATGATAATAGTTAAGACATGATTATACTGTAAATTCTACAATGGAATGAAAGACCATATCAACCCTGCTTTTCGGTGACAGAGAGAAGGCGTGTGAGTATTTTGAACAGTGTGTATGTGTGTGTTTGTGAGCATTTATGTGTTTTGAACATGTGTCAAGAGAGAGAGGGAAGTAAGGAAAAGGAGGCAAACGGCTGAGGGCAGGCAGAGCCCAGAAGCACACCCTCTCCGCCACGCTCACACCTCCCGCCCATTTGTTTTTAAAGGACTGCTCAGGCAGACCCCAGCCCTCTACCGCAGGCTCTGCCACCTCTTTTGCCCCTTTTCGCCCCGCCTCCTCCCCCAGCCCCGCCCTCTCTCGGAAGCCCCTCTACCGCTCACTGCTCATCCTCCCCAAACACATCGTTCTGTTTGCGCTTCATGTTCTCAAAGTCAAAGTCGCTCCCGGTCATACGTTTGTAGATGTCCTTGATGTCGTTACAAGTGGTCTCGAAGTGAGTGGTGGCATCGTAGGACCTTGAGGCAAAGACCTGGGGAAGATAGAATAACAGACTGAGAATCTGAGGCCAAGCTAGCAGCTCTGAGAGGCTGTACTCTAGTAACAGCATGCTAACAGGCTCACAGTGACAAGACCAAAGTACTGGGCAATTAAAAATTTTGACCAGATGATGGCGCTAGAGGAAAAGTCCTTAGAATTTATCCTCTAGGGATCTTCAATATCCGCAGCAGAAAGAAAAAGTGGAAACTTCGACGTGCTGGAGGTGCTAAAGGGAAAGTCATTATTCCTCTGTAAACCTTGCATATCTGTAACACATTTCACAGCAATGCATCCAATAATTGTCAGGATATTTCCCTCTGAACCACACTTGTCAACCTCACAGGGGCACTACAGGAGGCAGGGGATCACCAAAGTCATTAGTCTGGACGACATTGGATTGGCTAATTGATATTGCCACGTACGTAAAGTGATTCCACTGTTCTGGTTGCATAAAAAAAATTACTTTTTAAAACTTTTTATGCATATCCTGTATGCATAGGTGTATTTTTTAGAAATTTAGATCGTAAAAAAAGACAGTATCGTAATATATCACATTATATTAACTGTAACCCCTGTTTCACCAGATTCTTGCCAATACACAGCCCTAGCTAGCATACTGGCTATGAGCATCATTAAAATATAGTTTTTCTTAAGAAGTAGCTCTTACCTGGCTCTCAGTGCCGTCATCTGTGGGCTCATAAAGGTCACTAATAGCCACAAACCTGTCAAAGAAAACAAAAAAACAACTCCATTAACTAAACCTGGTTATGAATCCTATGTTTCCATCGTGTTATCATCGACTTTATTTGTATAGCGTGCTTGTTTGTGAAACCACAAATGCATGAAATCATGTTGAAATGCTGACTTTTGGTCGATGGGCTCCAGCAGCTCCAGGGCCGGCTCTATCTCAGCCTCGGGCTCGCTGGTTTCCACTGTGGTGCTGACGATGGCAATGTACTTCCCCTGGGCTGCCACATTGTGAGCATAGGAGATCATGCACACATAGATGTCTGGAGAATTGACAAAAGGGTTAAAAAAGAGGAGAAAGTCAAATCAGGGTTATCAAAAACATGCATTCACTGATTATTTGTCCACATTGGAGAAGTGGAAACAAGTTTTTAACACAGCACTAGGCAAACCGTTGCTTATTTAGACACCCAGCAGATAAGGAACAAAAGTAACATTGATTTAGTGTTTGTTTATAATAAGTAAGTAATAAGTCCAATATTCTGACTCTTTAGCTGTAAATGTACATTTGGTGCTGGGCAGGAAGCATACAGAAGGCTTTTAGAAGGTTTTCACTGAAAGCAGCCAGTTGTGTCTAAACGAAGGCGGATGAGAGCCGTGAAAGTGAACCAGAACAGTAAAGTTGTGGGTGGGAAAACCAAAACAAAGGACTGAAAGATAAAAAACCACTCCGCTGAATCCAGTGGGTTTGTTATTATGAGCCCGGTGCAAACTACAGGAAAGCCAGGGGGAGCTTGGCCCCCTAAAAACATGATTTGAGAAAATTGAGAAAAAATATTAACAATATGCTATTTTTACTCTGTATTTCTATTTTTCTAAATCTTCAGCATCACTGATTATCCATACAATTAGGCCATTATTGATGATTATATGATGTATGATTCATGCATGACAGTGATTCATCAAAAGCACCACCATCCATGCTATTCTTGCAATCACTATTGAAGTGTGGTGGTGCAATCATCCTTCAATCACTTTAACTCGGATCAGGAAAAAAACTAAACGTTCCTAGTAGGCATGTGATCCATCGTTAATATAAGAACATTGATTATCGCGGCTTTAAGAGTTAGGGCAAATGCTGGTGTCTCAATATTCAACATGGCTTTTTTAGTGTTTGAGGATAATGAGCTATTTTGCAAAGAAAAAACAGGGTAAAATTTACAAACATGTATCACTTGATCTGTTCTCTTAAGAGTAATCCTCAATATCTCCAGGGTTTAAAATAAAAATCATTACATTTAACAGTCTTATTGCTCAAATATATATGAACAAACTGCGCTCTAGCATTTAGCAGATTTGTTAAACAGTGACAATGATCCTCACCTGAGTTGCGGTTAACCTGATTCTGAGGAATGATGATCTGGCAGGAGTTGGAGTCATTGGTGTTTTTGATGGGGTGGCTGAGAATGCAGATCACACGGATCACCTGACCCGCCTTGCGGACGCGGTCAGGGATGTAGCTGGGGTCGCAGATGAGCTGCTTACAACGAGCCACCTGCCGCAGCAAGGAGACAGAAATGTACATGCAGCATTTTAAAAAACTACTACTTTCCTCAATTTGCATTATCACTGACAATAAATCAGCATGGCCGTACCTCGCCCTCAGACTTCACTCCAACCACGTGGCCACCTTCCATCACTATCTCATCCACTGGTTTGTTCAGCATGTAGGTGCCTCCATAGATTGCACTCAATCTAAAATGACATGTGAATAAGAACTGTTAAATCATGGAGGGGGTTTGTACTTCTGTATTTGTTATTAAAGAGCTGTAATTTATTAAGCAATAGAGCACAATGGGTATAAATTTATTAAAAACACCTGGCAAATCCCTGCGGCAGTTCTCCCAGACCGTACAGGGGGTAGAGGTAGGGGCTCTTCCCATACCGGGCCAGAGATTCACTGTACAGCTTGATGCGATTGACCGTCTCCAAACAGGGGACATCGAGATAGCTGGAGGAAAACAACAAAGGATGATAATAAATACAAAGAATACAAAGAAATAATGAATATTCAAGTCCAAAAAGTTAATCTTAGTCTACAGAAAAAGAAGTAACGTGTTTGACATCAGGCTGTTGCTTATATGAGGCTTTATTAAACCATCATTACATGTTAATCGTAAATAAATAAATCAATGCAGTTATCAAAGACTTGTTTGTTATCAGGCTGTTGTTTCTTACTCATCTGTCCTGTAGAGGGCCAGGGCGTGGCCAGTGAAGTCAATGACATCCTGGCCGAGGTCAAACTTCTTGTAAACATCCCTCATCGTTGTGGTTTTGGGGTCCACGCCCTCAAAGGTCTTGGGGTCGTTCTCATCGAAGTTGGCCACAAAGACTAAGAACTTCCGAAACCTTCGCTTCTCAAACATTCCCATCAGATCTGGAGATTCAAACAAAGGCTTTACGTTGCAGTTTCTTTCCCCACGATTACTAAACAATCTTAAATATCTTTGTTCATAGCTCTGATGAGACATATCGGAGCGGCTTACTTGAAGCTAGTGCCTCGGTCTCGGTCGACGGCACCTTGTAGATCTTTCCTCCCTTGTACACAAAGCTTCCCTCGACCACTTTAAAGTCCAGGTATCGTGTCACTTCTGTGTATAGCAGCATCTTCACAAGCTGACCTGCAATCACACATTTAAACAGGTTACATCTCATTAGTGTCAACAATCAAACCATATCAGTGTCACTAATTATGTTTATTATTCCCAAATTATCCTTATTATCTCTTCAGTCTACGATGAGTGTTATATATTCGTTCCTTTATGTACAATATGAGAGATGTGGGACAAACCGTTGGCCATGAGAAACTTGGGGATGAGGTCCACGTTCCAGTCCCTTCCTCTGCCCATTGACTCCGGCGGAGTATCTGGAAGATTGAAGCGCTTGTACAGCTGTGGAGAAGGACAGGAAGGAGAAGCATAAACTAGATCCTGTGAAGCTGAAATCTATGAAGCTGACAGAATCTGAAGCATTACAGAGGATACGGCAGTAAGCAAATGAAGACAATAAAAACAGCAGCTGGTGCACAATGGCACTGGGAGTAAAATGAGATGTACTGAGGGACATAAAATGTATTGATTGGTTTTATAGATCCCAGGAGCCCTTTACCTCCTCCAGAGGGGTGATGGAGGAGCTCTCCCCACCATAGTATGGGTTCCTGTCCATGTGCAGAACCTTTTTCCCATTCACAGACATGATCCCGGACAGGATGCATTCCTGCATTAAAACAAGATTTAATAATCCAAGATCAGCATTGATAACATTACATCCACTTGAAAATGAATAGACAGCACATAAGAGTGACTGAAGATGGAGGCATCTTAAAAGGAAATAGAGATTTAATGGAAGACATAAAGGGAAGTTGAGAGGTTTTGAAAGAAGGCTGCAGGGAGGACAGAAAGAAAGTAAGTGCGCATGCGCGACTAGATCGTTTCACCCATGTATCTACTGTAATAATAATAATAATAATGATAATAATAATGTTAATAATAACGATCACGGTTATTTTTAAGAACAATAACCGAATGACATTATTACATCATAAAATCTAAATTATCATAGCCATCCACCGACAAAAGGATATTTGATACCTTTTATAAAACTACCAAAATGTCGACTTTTACGCGTGCAGAAACCCAGATTAATATCGCATAAGGTGCATCGGACGATGTGTCTGCCGCATTGGGTGCGTTAAGTGAAGGGAAATTGCGGTGAGAGTAGCGGCAGTGAATGGCTCAGTCATTGAATAAACCCGTGCTCAGGCCTGCGCCAAGCTCAGGATGGAGGCCTGTCTGTGCACAGAGGACCATGACACACTGTGGGGTTACGCCTAAAAGATGCTACTGTGGAACACAACACTGGGCCGGCTGTGGGGCATATTTATTTAGATTTATTATTTATTTCAACTCCTGGAGCTTTTGTTTGCTTCCTGACACACACAAGCAGGTCGAGTGCCACATTTGGCGACATTAATAAAGCGCATCTCTTCAGACAATGTCCCTAATGTCACACAGGGATGCAGGAGGCGCTCACTTTCTGGGGAAGACAAGAGGACAGCAGGCCTGCAGTCTGGATACAATAACCGCTAAGAAGTTCGCTTTTTTTTGGTCCAAAAAAAACGAGGCTTGACTACTTACTGTGAGTCCGGTGCCCAAAACGATCACATCATATTCCTCATCCATGTTGTATCACCGCCTCTCCCGTCTCGCCCTCTTTTTGCCTCAAGAAATGAACGGTATTGAAGGAAATAATACCAGTGAGTCCACAGAAAACCACAGGGTGATGGGGGGAGGTTGGTTCCCGATCTCTGCCCAAGTGCTTTTAAAACGGCTCGTTCAAGAGTTTCAAAGTATTATGTATTAATCATTAGGCTTTAATGACCAGTGGAATATACTGTGCACACTGTCACCCGGCGAGGACGACCAAAGATGGCCCTGATCGCGGAGCACTCTAGAACAATCTTAGTGCGCGTCGGGAAATAGTGCGCACCCTCCTTCCTCTCTGTTTTCCCATCTTGCCACACAATGGCTTGAACAGCTCTGTGTGTAATGGGGGAAACCCCGCTCTGAGCTGGGCTTGATCGAGCGAACATACACGCCTTGAGCTTGTCTCTTTACAGTTTGACGTGGTGTTTAACGTGATTTTAAAAATATATATGTATTTCTTTCAGTGCAAGTCTGTGCGGTCTCTTATTTTCTTTTTCTATCCTTCATTTCCAGTTGTAGGCGCAGCATTGCGTGGAAGCGGTGGTATCCCTCCGCCGCCACAGCTGTGTGTGTGTGGATGGGAGTTGCTTTCACTTGACTTGTCCGCACGCAGGCCTTTAGCAAATAGAAAGAACTTCAAAACTTGACTTGTTTGTTTGAATGTTTATATTTAAAAAAAAGTGATTAAAAAAGCCAATTAAAATGACAGGAGTAGTCAAAAACCAAAACAATGAAGTGTACCGTCAGCACCATGGACAGTTGCAGGTGTACCTGTCCAGCTGCATTAAACACACCACATGCATGTTTTATGATCAGTGCAGTTTATTGTTACAGCACCAAACTGAAGCACAACCCAACCAGCCTCAAAGCCAGACAGGAGGCCTGGCAGCTGATGTTAGTCGCGTCCACACTGGGAGGAAAAAGCTCATTATTGTTGAGTTTTGTATGAAGATTATTTCGTATGATGTGTGGGGGTAAAGTGTGTGCAGCCTGCCGTGGTGTGTGTGTGTGTGTGTGTGTGCAGGCAGCAGCAGCTGTGGGGCAGGGCTGACACACTCAAACAGGCAGGAAGTGCTTTTTCTGCACATGACAGTCAGCTGGTGTGTGTCACGTGAGCGTCGAGCCAGAAGTTTGCGGAAAAACTGAACCCAAAAAAAATGGCAGCACGAAGCCGAGTGCGATTAATGGCTTTTATCGCCGTTTTATTCGCCTTTTTCGCTACGGGAAGCCGCGCCGCTCAAGTGCCAGTTCTGCTGTGGTCCAGTGAGAGGTAATGTTGAGTTTGAGTGGGTTTATTTTGGCGTGGGAGACGAACTTTCAGAGGCAACCTTTGGCCAGCTGTCTGCTAATGCTAACAGTTGGAGCTGGCTGTTTCCTACTTCTGTGCAGATGAGATTAACTTTAACTGTTAAAGCTCTAAAGTAAAAACAGCGTTTGTTTTGACTCGGTTTATTCGGTGTATAATTATCGAAGCCAAGTCTGATCTCAAAGCACTGTGAAATTCTGAGAGTCGTTGCTAGTTTCTCATAAATAATGGGTTTCTTGTTGCTTTCGAATATAACAGAAAGGAGATAATGGTGCAGTGAGTTGGTGTCTGCGATCACAGTTGATTATGTTGCTTTTTTCTAATGATCTTTATTGCTTTCAGACGGCCTGCATGTCCATGTCGTTTTGCCAAACATTGAATACAGTTGCACCTAAAGTAGTCAAGTTCCTCACACATTTACACTGCTGACTCTGAGTTTAACATTAGACAGACATTAGACAGGGACAGCAGGCCACACATACAGAGGGAACTGTAAAACCTGTGCTACTGTATGAGGTGGTTTGGACAGAGGTTGGACAATCTGTGGGCACACCGCATCTAGTGGAGAGTTTCACTGTGACAAAATGTTTTACCATGTTGAAATGTAGGTTAAGAAATAGCTGTAAACATGTGGCTTTTGTATTTTTTACACAACTGTACAAATTGCATACTATCAGTAAAACAAAGGGTTTGATGTACGGTATTCAGATGGCTGTAGAGGTCATTTTAACTCACCATTACTGTAAGTATGAATGGGAACTGGAATACAAAAACACAGTTTTAGTGTTTTTAGTTATATTGAGACGGTTTTCTTGATGTTTGACTGTCTTGGCTTAAACAGGAATTAATTTTTTCTGGATGCACTGGTTTAATTAACATATTTATCTTTAATACGTGAGTGAGTGACAGCATTTGTGCGAGGTATAAACTGATAAGTTTGTACTTAACGTTCCTGTAATTGCAAAAAAAATACGTTAAAGCACTTCAGAATTGTATTAGATATCACAATTTGTCTTTATCTTTCCTGCATGTGTAGTTTACCACCACTGGCCTCACCTGCGGCTGGTCACATCACGTCCAATGACCAGCTGACCGCCTACCTCCACTCTGCCTTGGGCTCCGGCCCCCACACTGTGCTGCTGTTTCTGCAGGACAAGGTCAGTCCCTGAGACATAAAAACTAAAGTCCTACTCTGCTGAAAACATGGCTACAGTCTGCCACTAAACAAATCCGAGCTTAGGGTTGTGTTGAGGAAAAGGACTCAGCTTGCAGTCTTCAGATTTTCACAGATTTCACAACATTTATTTGAAAGCTTGTCCTTGAATATGTAAGTGGTGTAAAACAAGGTAGTAATGAGTCATGTGTAGATGCACTGCAGTCCCATGTGACACAGTCTTCTCATTCTGGTGTGACAATGAGCTTTGGCATTACTTCTCCTTTCACAGGTCCTCTGTAACACACCATTTTAATCTGTTCTCGGTTGTGGCCGGGCCTTGTGATTAATGAGCCTAATTGATGTTTTCGTTGTATTAAGATGCAAATGTGTGTCAACTTCTCTGCTCATGTAGGTTAATTGTGATATTTTAATGTCCTTACTTGTGTTCAGTTAAGCAAAGATGACTTCACAGTCTTTGGTGGAGTGTTTGGAAACAAGCAGGATAGTGCCTTTCAAAACCTTGAGGTAGGTTTTTGAAACTTACACAGGAGTCCTAAATTAAGATGATTTTGTCAGACGAACAATGCTAATAATTCTTTCCTTCTCTTCAGGCCGCCCTGCAGTCTTCCTCATCAGTGACGCTTCCTGGATTAGAGTGGTCGGGCTCCTCTGCCGTCCCGGCTCTGCTACAAGAGAAGCTTGGTGTCTCGCCTCTGCTTGTAGATGCGGACACTCTGTCACATCTCAGCATCAACACATCTGTCAGCAATCTACTGCTCATCAATCTTCCATACTGTACAGAGTAAGACTTGTGTTGTGTCTTGTGAATAGAAGTATTCTATTTTTAACTGGGTGAAAATTAACATTTTTACTCTTTTGTAGCTTGCACAAGTCTTGCAAGGAAGTCCTACGTGACAATGGTATGTTTTTACTCTTAAGGAATTCAGCATTTTTGTTAAAGCATAGTTCTAATCATGTACTAATACAAGTGTATTTTGCTTTCCACAGATGAGATTATTGGGAAAGTTCTGAGTATCATGAAAGCCAAAAATGTCCCATACACTGCGATGTACACAGGACTGCAGCCGTCACGAGTAAGATATTCTAACTACTACACATAAAAGTTGCCATGTCACGTACAAAAATTATAGTATATATGTTTTGTAATGACTTCTATACTTACCCAACATCATACAACATAAAAAGACAAACACACATGTCATATGAAGACATGAAACATTACAATGTTAATTTTGATTATTTATCTCTATACAGGTGATTTCAGAGACATCTATGTCTAACCAGCCTGCGGGGCGGTCCTTGCTCCAAGCAGTTGTACCCGATGTCAAACCACCCATCATGTATAATGGAACCGGTGGCCCTTGCATAATGCTTTGGGCTCAGAATCTCAACGTCAGCCTCTCAAGGACTTCAGAGTGGATTGACCTTGCTGCACAAACACCTTCCCTGTCAGGATCCGTTTGTAATGCCACTAACTCACGGTGAGATGGCCAGCGAGTGGGCGTTTTTTTGTGCTTGTTGACAAGATAACTTTGTGTTATTTAAAGGAAATAAGTCATTTAAAATGTATTCTTCTTCTCTCACTTTAGGCTTGTCCTCAATTATGAATCAGGCTTTATACTAAGGTAAGGTGCTCACTTAAAGGAATAGTTAAGGAATTTGGGGAAATTTGCTTACTTTCTTTCTTATCAAGAGTTTAATAAGAAGATCAATACCTCTCTTATATCTATCCATTAAGTATGTTGCTACAACCAGAAGCCACTTAGCTCAGCTTAGCTAGCTTAGCTAAGTGTAAAAACCTTGTTTCTTGGCCAGGTGCAGTGACTTCTGCAGGCGTCTAGTGGAGACTCCAGGAAGTCACTGCACCTGGCCAAGAAGCAGTCCTACCCATAATCATTGACAGTATATATAACCCCTCATAAAACCACAAACTGTCATTTTTACACTTTGTTTATTGTACAGCTGGAGCGGCAGTGGCTCAGGCTGTAGATGTGATGTCTCTCCACTAATGCGTGTGTGCATAATGAAAAAGCACAGTCTGTGTAAAGGACATTTAGAGATTTCTGTCTAAAGACATTGCTGAAAACATTATAAAAGACTGTTTGTATGTAGTACTGAATTGTGCTAAAAAGTGCTTAATTTAATTAAAATTAAAAACAAACAAGATATAACATGAACTGAGATTCAGAGGTTATGATTTAGACATCTTTATCTTTATGATAAGATAAGCTAAGCTAATCAGCTCCTGAATGTAGCTCTGTATTCAAGGGACAGATATAAGAGAGTAGAGTTTAAAGCCCCAGAGAACTCGGCTTATGTTTAATATTTGTGAGTAAAGAATCATCTTCAGATATTGTTTTCTTAAATGTTTAACAGTCAAAAACGTAGCTAATCTGTTTCATCATATTTTCTTTCATCTTTAAACTTGAAAATTCTAAATATCTGTCTCAGGCCCTGCATAACTGTAGACCATATTCTTCAGCATAATTCACATTTAGACCTTATTTTTCTTCTCTAAATGTTCAGTCAGTTCAGTATAAATGTGTCTCACTTTACATTGTTTTTATGTTCAGTTTATTGAACAGTTATGCTATAAATGAATTAATAACAATAATAATAATGTGTCACAGTTCTAGCTATGAATTCTACTCTTTTCACATTGACGTCTTATCTTTGAGATACTCAGAAACAAAAACTCTTCTGTTGATCTGCAGTTTTTTCATGAGCCAACGGTTCTATCCTGTGTCTGCACGGAACTGGTCCACCCTGGACTCCGTTCAGCTGCAGTCTAGCAGTCTAACTGAATCTTTCATTGGGAGCCGGAGCATTTACGCCCCTGCAGAGTACTCCTTCCACTGCCAGTCCGTCAGCAGCTTCCAAGACACTCTGCTAGTGCCAAACAACACCACCTCGCAGTGGAGGCTCAATTTTGTCGACTTCCAGGTACAACTGTAGTTCTGCATTCACACCCTGCCATTCAATACTCCTGCAGCAGCGCGAGTACTTGTTAAAATTGAGAGTGTTTTCTAATAATCAGGTGTCAGTTTAGTCTCTCTGTTGTTCATTGAGTTTTATGCATTTTACTATCCAGATTCAGGGCTTCGGTTTGGCCAACGGAACAGATTTTTCCAACGCCAGCGACTGTGCAGGCTTCTTCACCCCGGGGATTTGGATGGGGCTGCTGACCTCACTGCTTATGCTGTACATCTTTGTGTACGGTCTGCACATGATCATGCGGCTAAACACCATGGATCGATTCGACGACCCCAAAGGTCCGTCGATTTCAGTGCCTCAGTCGGATTGAAGCACTCCAAAACGCACACATTCCTCAGTCCTTCAGTGCCTCCTAGTAGATTGTGTCTCCCCCGTCCCCCCCCTTATCATGTAGCTTTTGTACGTTTGGGCCTTTTTTCTTTGAAGTTATTTGTCCGGCAGATTGACCCTCTCTCTGATATCCTCTCCTGTAGTTTTCTCTCTGGAGTCCTTCCACAGCTGTCTTTGGGATACTGGTCCCTTCCAAGGCTCATTTCATTTCATCTCTCCACAGCTACAAGTGCCAAAATGGATGCACCTTTTATATGAGCTGAGTGCATGTGCTAAAAAGACGTTTTGGTGCCACTGTTGGCCAGACACAGTGGATATTTTCCCTTTAATAATTTGCAATCCTTTCTTTAACCAGAGAATGCCTTCTGTGCCAACATGAATGTGATTGCTGGATGCTGTAGGACCGTTTCAGACCTCAGTTCTTACTTTTTTCGTTTGTTTTTCCAACTGTAATTTAAAGACTACTGGTTATGAAAGAAGTGCCTGTATATAGAGACTAGATTGCTTTGTGACTGTATTCTGAAATGGTTTGGAACTGTCTAACAAAAGTATTGCTTATACTTTACGTTGGACTTAGTTCTGTTCTCGCTCGTCACAGACAAATCCCACACACAAGTGCCATTCAATGTGTAAAAAAAAAGAAATGTATCTGACAAGTAATTTATTTATATGAAAACAGTCTCCTCTACTAAACATACCTTTAAAAGTTTACCTCTTGCTTCAGGTTCATCAACAAATTTAAATGTCAGTGCCTCAGATCTGCTTTGGTCAGACTTATTGATGTGCAATCACCATGACATGTACATTGCCTTTTAATTGAAAATAAAGTGATCTATAAATTTGTGATTGATCTGTTTGTTGTTGTTTGTGTGTGTGTGTGTGTGACTGCAATGGAAAGTGTAATCTTTCACACGTGACAAGGACTTGCCCAGCGATTTGCATAATTTATATAGCCAAGTCGGTTGCCATGGTTACGGCAAGTCAAAACACCACCACGTCATGGCCGGTCGAGGCGAACCTGCGTGTGTGCGCACAGCGTAACTCTTCTTTTCTCTTCACTTTCCGTCGCCGGCGTGGCCCAGCAAGTTGTTTCCGAGATGTCAGCGGCTCCCGTTCAGAGAGTAATATTTGGCAGCACTCAGGAGAGGAGAATGTTTCCTCTCTATTACGCACCAGACCGGCTGGGAAACAAAATGTCAAGAGAGGAGGCGCCACATCTCGGCCCTGGCTGCTATGACAACCAAGAGGTTTGTCTCTTTAATATCTGCTCAAGGTTGGGGTGTGTGTGTGTGTGTGTGTGTGTGTGTTGCACATCTGTTGTTGCACAATAAATGTCCTCGTTTAATCTGTGATGCAGAGTTCAACGTGTTGCATCACCGTGCTGTTCTGCTTGTTTTGCTTTATTGTATGACAGGAGGCCTAAATCTTGACATTTTGCTTTCCCAGTTTGGCTCCATACAAACTGAGTGTCACAGGAAACCAGAGAGTAAGAAAGGATATGGTCTCTCTGCGAGGACTGCAGCACGGTTCCCCCCCTGTGGCAAGGTACATGAGACCAAAGGAGCTACCTGCCCCATCCACTCTAACACTGAGAGCATGTTTACTCAGTGTTGGGCAGTAACTCATTACTAGTAACATTACTTTCCCCAGTAACTAGTAGTGTAAGTGTAAGTATATATTACACTTAACACCTCCCCCCCAAACCATATTAGTTACATTACTTTTAATGTCTCCCCCATACTAATTTAAAATCCAGTCACATCCTATGAATTTTTTTTTTTTTTTTGTGGAGGAAACTAACTTGGAAGATGGATGAAGATGGCTGGAAATACTCACATTACTTTGATTTTAGCAAACAAAACTGGATTTTTGGGGAGAAGGGACACAATTATAGCAGAAAAGTAATATGACTAGTACTGTAACTAATTACTGTTGGCAGTAAATAAGTAAAGTCATGATATTACGTTTGAAGAGTTATACATTGAATTTTTTGAGTAACTAGGCCCAGACACTGCAATTAATGTTAGTTTAAAGAGGCACTCTACTGATTTTATATGAACTGTGGTCCTGAAAAGAGGCTTTCAAAAGCTTTTTTTATCCCAGATTGGGTTTAAAACGAAAACCTTTTCACAGAAAGCGTATGCATAACAACGGTTTGGTTAGGTGAGGTTTGGAAGAAGTGACCATTTCCCAGACCTCCATTCAAGACCTTAAGTAAAAGTACCTATTATCGGCAAAATGTGCTTAAAAGTATCAAAAGTTAAAGTTCTGATTCAGTAAAACGTTTCCTGTCAGTGTTTTACTCTGTAGGATTAATATTAGTATGCTGTGTTTACTGCTGTAGATCTTTAAGGTTGGGCAAATTTGAACTACATTAAAATACAAAATTATACTGTTGGGTAGTCTAATCTACAGAAATGCATCAAATATAAGCTCATCATGTTTGTGGCGTCACAGTCCTGTGAGAAAATCGACTTTTCCTGATCTTGTGTCCAGCTTCTGTTACATTTTCCAGCTAATCCAATAGTTTATTTATTTTAAGAAGTAGAATTTTCTCAATACATAAAGTCAAATTCAAAATCACCAAATCCGGATACATGTTTTTCGCTGGTGAGTCCTCCAGCTAAATTACTTATTTTTTTACAATTCATCACCAGAAGGCGACCCCTTCCCCTCAGCAATACCAGCAGGATCAAAGCCAGTCCAGAGTTCCCCCTCCCAGCAAAACACCATTCAACTCTATCCAACCGAGGCTCCAAAGCACGTCCTGTACAGCCGAGCACAGTCCAGGGTGAGACAGCGACACGTCAGACACACACACACACACACACACCACACACACACACAACAAATGTAACAGTGCTGAACTGAGCTGACAGATGTTCATTTTGTGTTACAGCCCTGGGACCTACACTCTTGACGCAGTGACAAACAGGAAAGTGAGCTGGCCGATGTGCTTTGGGAACCCAGACTGGTCCAAACTGCCTCAGCTGCAGAAGAAGTCACTCAGGGTGAAGGTGGGTGAAGCAAGTCCTGTTCTGTGATTGGAGGCTGCAGTGTGTAACATTTAGGAGGCAGAAATGGATATAATATTTCATAGCTATGTTTTCATTAGTGGTTAATCACCTGAATATAATAATTGTTGTGTTTTTGTTACCTTAGAATCAGCTGTTTTTATCTACAGAGGGAGGGGGGTCCTCTATGGAGTCTGCTATGTTGAACCAATATATTTTTACAGTAGTCCAGGACAGACACACCAAACACTAGCTCAGGATAGAGTTTTGCAGCTCCTACGCAGGAGCAAATATTCAGTTAGTTACAATCTGAAATTTCACCACTATTTCCTCCACACAGGTCATTTAAGAAACCAAGATTGAATCAGTTTATGTTTCACTTCTGATCAGAAAAACACTTTGGATACCAACATTAAGCTACCTTCTGATCAAGTCATGGAACCAGTATTTTTGCTCCAGTTTGTTTTACATTTTGGAGTAAAAACCTTAAAGAACCGATGTTTAGCTGTGATATTGCAGATTAGAACAAACTGAAACCCCTTGACTCAACCAAGTGCAAAGGAGAAACTATGGTGGATATGAAGGCTAGAGCCAGTGTTTGGTTTGTCTCTTGTGGGCTACTGTAGAAACATGGCGGACTCTGTGGAAGAAGACCCACTCCCTCTGTAGAGAACGGCTTATCTAAGACAATGAAAACATACCTATGAATATTACATTCAATTTCTGCCAATACATCCTTGGCAGCGCTGTACACTCGACTTTTTATAGGAATAGTCAACATTTTAGGAAATACGCTTATTTACCAAGATCTAGATGAGGAGATTGACACCACTGTCATATCTGTCTGTTAAATATGAAGCTGCAGCCAGTTAGCTCACTAATTAAAACATATCTTGTTTAATCCTTACAAAATCTGAAGTGAAATAGCACTGGTGTGGTTTTACGGGAGATTACATGATGTTTTCAGTCTCATCCCATTTGAGAGTTTCTGGTATATATTTTTTTTAACTTTTGACAAAAGTATAAAAAAAAGTTTTAGATCTGGCTGTCTAGAGATATAAGAGCCATCTCTATAGAGTAAGTAAGTGCATCTTCTACTGAAGAGTTTGATGTGCAGATAAAAGAAAAGATGTTTTGAGAGTCGTTACAGTGCTGAATCATCCTGAATCCTGTATTTAAAAAAAGTTTCTCATAAGAATTCAGTTTGGTGGGATACATTGTTATATGGACCAACAGCTAATGCTCTTTTGTTTTTGTTTTCTTCAGCTGAACAGTGAGAAGGAGTTCCTGAAGCACAGGAGCAGAGTGGCCTACCTGAGTTTGTATTATTAACTCTAAAACTGATGGATGAAAACCACTCATGACACTGATATCAGATGGTGTATTATATTTTCCTTTTTACAATCAACACATTTTACTGGACTGAAACTGTCAACAAAAGTTCTCTCAGTTTAAAAAAGAAAAAAAGAAACTTATATTTCTTTATTCACAAAATGACAGGATTCCTGTGTGGTTTGCATGTTAAACGATGACATTACAAAGTGACATTACACAAATTTTAAAGAAAATGAGTGCTTGCTGAAAAAGGGGACACACAACAAAAACAGTTATCTTCAATAGAAGTCAGTGTACAAAAAAAAAAAAAAACCAACAGCAGTACGGTCAGCCGTTGGTCCCGGCTCACACCGCAGGTTTCAACTCCGGACTGCTTCTCTCTCCGTCGAGGGAATCACTGACTGGACTGCTGAAGGCGCCAACCATTGTGGCAAATGTGAGTCTGTTGGTTCAGGTGGGTCCCAACTCATTTCTTCCTCCTCACTTTGGGTTTCTTGACCGGCCGAAGGTACGGGTTGTCGATCACGTTGTCCTCGCTGGCCTTTGTGGAAGGAACGCCGCCGCTGGGAGGAAGCATGGAGTTCTCTTTGTCAGCTCCTGGATCATCCTGAATGAGAAGATGGAAGTGAGCAGTCATTGTAGTACACTCTACCGTACTCGTGCATCACATTTAAAGGAATAGTTTGACATTTTGGGGAAAAGCTTTTTTTTGCATTCTTGCCAAGAAGATTGATACGATTCCCATCTGTATGTTTAGTATAGAGCTCGAGCCAGCAGGCAATTAGCATGGCTTAGCATAAAAAGTGGAAACAGTGAGCTCTGTCCAAAGTGAAAAATCTGCCTGACAGCACTTGTAAAGCTCACTCACTAAAACATCATATGCTCAGAGTTTCAGTACAGAAATGCTTTCCACTGCTCCTGACAAATACTAACATGTAACTTCTGATAAAACCGTAACTTGTTACTTTTACATTCATGTTTTTGTACAGATTTAACACGAGACATATGTTAATTATCTAGCTTCCGAGGTGCAGATAACCTTATTTTATTTACTTTGGACAGAGCCTGGCCAGCTGTTTCCTCTCTCTATGCTAAGCTGAGCTAAAATCTCCTGTAAAGTAGTATCCCAATGAAGTGGGATTAATCTTTTCAGCTAACCCTTGCTTTAAATTCAGCCTCTGACCTTGTGCACTCTGAAATGAACTCTGAAATAGTTTCTGTAAAGGTAAATTGGATTCCTTATACTCAGACAAGTCAGTCAGTGTCAAACCTTCCCCATTCTCTTTAATGCAGAGCCTCGAGAAGCACTACTTCATTTAGATTTGGAAGAGTTCATGTAGAATATACAAAAGCTCTATTATGAATATCTACAGTAGGGTTGAGTGCCAGGAATTGGGAATGCAGGATTTTCTGGGAATTTTCCTGCCCCCTGTTGCGGAAGATTACCCACAGGCACATGGGATTTTTTTAACATTTATGCATCTGTGTACATCCGTGTCTTCCTCTACTGAAGATAATCACATGTACTGGAACAAAGAGGCCTTCTCCAGACCTCATTGATGCTACAAACTGTCCTAGCTTAAATACTAAATTCCAACCTTGAAATGTTGTTATTACGGTAATAAAACTGGATCAGCCTTTCAGCTGCAGTGGCTTCTGCTAATCTGTGGGGATATTTGTCTCAGCCACTCACGGCCAGTAATAACCTCGGGTCAGCACTAAGATGGTCATACACTCCTCTATAACCTCACATGAATAAAACTGCAGAGAATATGTTCAAAACAAAAGACAGCAGTGTGCTTTTTTGTGTCTTTTTTTTCTGTAAACACATAATGTATGTAAAAGAATTACATCAGAAAATGTGAAGATTTGACAATTAAATGATGGCAAGAAAATGATATTTCCAGTAAGTAATAACATTAAAATCCGGGAACTCAGAGAGAGCAATAGTGAAGACTCACATTGATGATGTTTCCTGCTGTGTTCTCACTGTCTGTCTGGTCGTCCTGCTCAGAGGAGTCTGTCTCCTCCAGAGTCTGTAACTCCAGCTCTGACGGCAGGAGGGCGCTCAGATATGGGATGGTGCTTGGTTGTGCTGCGATCACTAACAACACAGTCACAGGGATTAGAATGTGTGCAAATACAACATGCTGTCAGTACAGACACGCAGGTATAAATGGACACAAAAAACAAAGACACACTTGAACGTGTGAGAGACATATTACAACTGATGTTTTGAAATACAGGTCTGCTTTGTGGATTTACTCACATGGGAAGGCGGTGATGTCGTCTTTGAAGAGGCTCTGAGTTTCTCCGGTCTTGGCCATGAAGCGTGTGAGCGCTCGCTCCACGTCTCTCCTCTGACTCGCTGCCTTCTCTCTCACCACTTGGTAGTCCGACACAGGCTCTCTGAACGTCTGCGAGCAGAAAGGAAAACACACGTCACTTTATCTGTTCCACCAAGGCCTTGCTAGTTGATTCCAGCGGGGAAACTAAAAAGATTCCACATGATACATAATGGATTGTATTTTATCATCATGTGACAAGTAAATGACATTATTTCGGGGTTTGTTTAAGGATCTCGATAACAACCCCAAAAAAACGGACTCACGGGTGTTTTGATGTACGTGTGAGGGTCAGGGAACTCTGGGAAGTGGCTGGGGATGTGAGCCGGATGTGTGCGTTTCTGTCCGGCTGACAGTGCTTTGGGGGTCACAGGCGCATTCGTCACTGGAGCTGAATGTCAGAAAATACAAACAGAAATAAAATTAAGTTCACAGCTACGTCAAGAAGGCAACGTTTCATTTGATCTTATTATTATTGTTATTATAAGTGAGATTATTAACATTACTAATCAGTGGACGGCAGAGTGCACACTTACGAGCAGTTATAACCATCCTCTGTGATCTCTTGGCGTAAACAGGCAGGGTGTCGGTATTGAAACCTGCAGTGACACAAACACAGTGAATAATATCCTCTTTATTACCTTGTGTTAGACATATATAACTCATGTGTTGGCTTCCTCCGGTACTTACCCATTTCAATGAGTGTGACCACTGTATCTGACAGGGTCGGAACACTTCTGGCTGTGTGTTCACAATAAGCTTTAGCACACCGACCTATTTCACTTATATCTGAAAGAGACAAAATGTGGTTTAGAAAAGCTTCTGCTTATGAACTGAATAATGGCTGATATTATAAATAAAAGAGGAATTTTTATTTCTGTTTGCAGGAAGAATCAACAAATGCAACTTTTTTTTTTGTATCAACACACATTAAAATAATACAAGGACGCCAATCCTACTTCTTTCCCCAGTACCAATTCCCGGTACCAGTGCTCTCTTTATAGCACCATGTGTGGCTCTGTGTCTCAACAAGAGACAAAATACAGAAGTGCAGAAAATGTATGGTTGCTAAAACTATACTGAATCAGCTGAATCAACAACCGTGAATACACAGTCAAATTTCACAGTAAAAGCCTACCACTGCTTTCACATTAAAAGGCAATATTGACAAAAGCACAATGCAGGTATCCGCTGTAACTTAACACTTGAAGATTTGGTCACTCACAGTGACTAAGCTATATTTAATATGGATCCGTCACGTCTGACCAGTACTCAGTATTGGGGCTCACACTGATCCAACAAGGCTCAGGGCATCCAGATACAACTCAATAGCAGCAACAATAACGATGGTCGGACTACATTTAAAAGCAAAAGTTCAACAGAGAATCTTCATCCATCTGCCGACATGATGCTAAACACCTGCAACACATCAACAGAATGAAGACCGCAAGATTTAAATTACTCTTTTGATCCACAATCCTCTAAATGTTGGCATACAGAAAGACATGTTCTAACTTTGAGAACTCTCTCAGAGTGAGCTTCAATGCAAAGTCCAACAAAATTAAAAACCCATCCTATGACTCCTCCAGCGCTTCACCTATGCATTTGTGTATTAAGCCAAATGTTTTCAGCTATCTTGCCTTCATCAGGGTTGAGTCTGAAGCTGCCTCCTGTTTCCATACAATTATTTAAACAGTACATTACCATAAATACTACTTAGACGTGATCATCATCTTTTAAAAATACATTAAACGCCATCCTGATGAAGGCAGGTTGGTCGAAAGCAAAGTACCCTAAAAAAGGAAGAGGGAAATGAACATGGGCACGTCCTCGGTGGATGGAGGCTCTCCTTTAGGCTTCATACGTACAGCTCTGCATCATCTCAGTGAGCGTCTCCACCGCTGCCTTCTCAGCGCTCTCGAAGCCACACTCTGTCAGCAGGGCACTGACCACCACCTGCAGGGTGCGTCGACGGGCCAGGTGGTAGTTCTCTGCAGGGCTGGACGCTGCTTTCCCACCACTTCCACGCTGAAAAGTCACAGATAGAACAACAGATGGGAGTGGGTGAGAGAAGATTCATCAGGGGGAACATGTCAGGAACTGGCTCAATAAAGCGTGAAAGGATAAAACAAGCACGATACAGGCCAAATTAATTCAACATATAAAAACAGCAGCTAATACAGTATCATCAGTTTCTGCTATAACAGGCTTGTAGGATAACAAATACAAATCATTGCTTAAAGCATCATTTTTAAAGAAAGGCCTTTTGTGATTTCATTCTCATATTTTAACTTATTGTATCTTATTTATTTTGTCAAACTCTGTAACCTTTGTTTAAATACATACTATACAAATAAAGTTATTATTAAGACAAAAAAAAATATATAATACACATTACATGTTATTCACATTATTATAGCAAGTCGAGCTGCTTATACAGTCTGTACTATAAATACACACACACACACACACACTAACATTAACTCATAACATAAACAGCGAGCTAACCTTATAGTCTGAGCCGAAGTACAGCAGGTTTATACTGGATTTAAGAGTAGGTTTGAAGTTATAAATCCTCGTTGAGACTTTCGGGTTGAGATTCCTTTAATATATATATATATTATAAATAACGTCTATATATGGTTGAGAGGCATCCATGCACAGGGCGTGGTTCTTCCTACAGACTGCTACTTAAACGCGGCGCCTACCAACCCGAGCACAAGAAGCTTGACCTCTTTATCCCTTCCCTCGTTCAATGTTTGGGAGCCTCCCGACGCCACCGCGGGATCCCCGCCATCGTTCGGATTTAAGCTTCATTTAACTCTTAAGTCGGTACTCACTTCTCTCTCTTTCTCCTCTTTTCCATTTGTCAGTACGATGCGCTTGGCGCGGTTAGTTAAACATGGTGCGTATTTTAGTCGTCTACTTCCCACACTCGGACGGGATGTTGAAATTAATACCCGCGCTGTATTTACTTTGCCCTCTAGTGGTTGCAGTGTTAATCTACATCGGCTTCATTTTCAACGTTCACATGATAGATAGATAGATAGATAGGGATAGATAGATGATAGACTAGATAGATAGATAGATAGATAAGATAGATAGATACTTTATTTATCCCGGGGGAAATTCAAGCTCACTAGCATGCAAAAATACAAAACGTTACATTTAAACATAACATTAAATTAAAATTAAAAAACCTTAACCTTAAGAATAGAATTAAAAATAAAATAAAGTATTATAATAAAATATAAAATATAAAAGATTATAATATAGATATATAAAATAACAGCTAGCTACCAGTTAAACGGTCCAAACAGAAAAACAGTGCAAATGGAGTGTAGGTGCAAATGAAGTAAAACAGTGCAAATGGATTGTGCAGTCAGAGGTAGAAATTGGTCCATTGTCTACTATCTATTGTCCCTCCCTGCCTTTTACTTGAGAGCTGTTGTACAGTCTGATGGGGACGAAAGAGTTTGTTCAGTTGTTGGGTGGAGCTGGACTGGGACAGCCAGTCTCCACTGAACACACTCTCTGCTGGTGATGTTGTTGGGTGTTGGTGGTGGGTGTTTGTCCAGTATGGACAGCAGTTTGTCCAGGCCTTCTTATGCTTTGTCACTATGTGCTCTGTGCCCAACCACTGAGCCAGCTCTCCTCAACCCAGTCTGTCAGTCGTACCGTGTGTTCTTCTTGCTGCTTCCCTCTGCAAACACTTGTTTAAAATGTTGTGACGCTGGCCACCACAGGACTGGTAGGGGAGATGCTCAGTGGTGTAGTGGTTCCTGTTAGAAGTGGGGGTATACTTATTTAAGCCCCAAATGTTTATCTATTTTATATATTTATATAATTATATTTCTCCTGTGTAATTAAAACTGTAACTATGGTAAGAATATCTTGCATTATTTTTTCCCCCTTCACCCAAAACTTCTGGCGTTCATTGCACAGTCACTTAACTTCTGCTGCTTGACTTCTGTGAGTATCATTATGAGATTAACTACTAATTAGAGTTAGATTAGACATAATACTGGCCCACAGACTATGGGGTGAGACAACTACATAATTATGCATTTTGAGTGAAATATTATTCCTTATTCCTTATTCCATTTACTCGTGAAAATCTAAGTCATGCCTTCACCAAAAAAAACCTCCCAGAAAACTACTGAATGATGTGCATCCGAGGGGATTTAGAAGTGGGTATACCCAATGCCAACAAAAATAAGTATCACATATACCCTCCACTAAAACAAGGTAGATGCTGATATAGGATACACCATACAATGAGAGGAAAAGCAATAAATGGATATCTGAATGTGTGGATGCCTTTCCTCTTATTAGTAACGTATATGAGATGAAGTGGCGACATTAGTGTACTAAGTATGAATTTATCACACAAAAGTTAAATGTAGCTTAGTTAAATGGCCCCTAACACATAATATTATCTTAATTTACAGATTAATGTCATTATAAATGCATCTATTTGAGTAATGTCTTCTTGCAAAATGTACAAATGCTGCTGTATTACTGTAAAATCATGACCTGAATCAGTTTCCAGCTGAAAAAAATAGCTTTATTATAGTGCAAAATAAGTCAAATCACACGCATTCCTTTTTTTCCTAACACATTCATCAAGTCACATCCACAAGTATCTGCTGCCCAGCAGCCAGACATTACTGTACCCTGCAGTGTATCTACGCATCTCATTTTTTGCCATCTGAAATAAAAGACTTAGCACAAAGTGACCACTTCAACATGGTGATTTAATGTACCACCATTATCATCAACATTGTGAGTGTCGTGTCCATTTACATCAGGAGGGGAATGGTTTCTTTAAGAAGCATATAAGCGGTTGGTTGAGCTTCTCCTCTCAGCGGTCACCACATGTTTGCCCTTGGTCTCGATCACTACCGTCTCCAGCACGTCCACAACTTCAGGACGAACCGAGGTAGTGTGTGACTTTAAGGCCTGCTTCTTCTCCTTCTTCTTCTCCGTGATCTGCTCTGCTGGTGTGTCCTCAACGGTCTCCTGCTCCACAAATGGCAGGAGAACTGTTTCCACCAGTCCACCAACCACTCCAAGCATCGCCAGAGTGGAGCCGAGCATGTAGATCTTCAGCATGCTCCGGCTGGGCCTCTGGTTTAGCATCTCCTTAGCGAATGGGATGATTTCGCCAATGGTTTCCATCGTGTGTTTTTTGATTAGTCTGTAAAAGGAAAAAGAGAAATCATACACAGAATTTTTTTGTTAGAGAAAATTGTCCAAGCAGATAAACTGGAATCAGTCTTTCTACTATACACATAACATGCTGATGGGCAAATACTCACTTTGAAGAACACCCCAAACTCTGACTTCTTCTCAGTGTTCGGCCCAGTGAGGCATTCGCAGGCAGAGAGATGAGAGCAGATCCTGCCATTTAAACACAAGTGGAGCCTGGTCAACTCCCACAGTGGTGATAACATGCATATTCATGAGGCTAGTTGCTCTTTGGAGATTAGGGCCTGTTTGGGTAAAAGGGCATGGGTTTATGGGACAAGAAGTGAAGCAAATATTCCCTGGAGGTGAAACTGTGCATGTGACATCACATGAGGTCTGTATGTGTTGTGCAGCAGAAGCACTGTAATGCTTTAGCGTGTTTACTTATGTGTTATTGTTATTTATCTAGCTCAAAACAACCTCCAACCATGCAGCGATCCTGAGAGCAGAGTGAGGATAAATTAGGTCATTCCAATACTACACATATGTTACTGAACACTGAACAACATGAGTGGTTGGTTCATGTTGCGTGGCTTGTTACCATAAACATTGATCCTCATCAGGAGAGCTTGAATAGTGTCCAATCACAGTACATGAAACTGTGGAAAGCCCCTTATCGAACACCAAGAGATAAGGTTCAGTAGAAGAAAAGGTTCTCCTTAATCATGCAGTCCTGAGCTGCTCTGGCTCATGTCAACTGTCTGACTGCGGACCTGACAATGAAGCAGTGAGAGATTGCAGGGGTTAATGTGTTTGTGTGTGTGTGTGTGTGTCTGTGCCCTTTGACCTCGTCCACTCACTGCGGGAGAGGAGGGAGTCAGTTGTGAAATGTGTCTGAACTTTTCACAGAGAGACATGTGTCGTCAGTGACAATGACATCTGGCCAACGTCACGAGACGCCTGCATGTTGGTTCAACATCTGCACGCCAGATGAGGGACACCATAACATAATAATCCACCCAGCATGTGATATTTAGTGGTGTGGCCATGTCAGTTGGTCTGTTGGTTGAGTTTTTCCCATCAGCCTCAGCTGTACTTTGTGTTTGGTGCTAATGAGCAAATTAACAAGGTAAACACAGTAAGCCTTATACCTGCTAACATCCACATATTAGCATTAATGTTAGCAGGTACAAGGCTAATATTAACATCACACACATACGCATGTTTTTTCTTATAAATGTCACGCAATATATGCAAAAAAGTAGAAAAAAAAGAGCATGTACACACTTAAAATCTAAAAAACCTACCACACAATGTATGGTGCAATTACTGAGCAAACGTTTGAACTTTTGCTCAGCCGTAATGAAATGTGACTAAATTCGAGAACAAACTTTCACCCCATAGTCAGTTTTGGAGCGCGGAGTTTCCACAAACGTTGCTGGTATCACTGTAATTACACGTCAATAATGTTGCTCTTTGAGCAACTCAGTTTGGATTATGGACATTATGTTTACCACTGCTGGGAAAAGGTTGAGACTGTTTGGAGACCTTTGCCCCATATTTCTGGCTTCTTCTGCTTGAATGGACAGTCTGTCTCAATACTGCACTTCACCAAGTCAATCGTGTTGTGATTGTTGGGGGGGGTGAGGAGGGTTTATGGTGTGTGTAGATGTGAGAACTCTTTCAACAGAAGGTAAGTATACACTGGGTTTCTATGTAGTGCTTAAAGAAAAAGAAGAGGAAAATAAATGATACACATGATGATTTTTGGCGATTGCTGACATTTATCTGTAATTTCTTTAATTTCTTTTCAGCTTAGCAAAGGCTGGTTTACAAACCCAGGGCTTACAGTAAAATGCTATATGGTTAAGGCAGCATACATTTCAAAACTTTGGTGAGGATTCCCAGCTTCTGATCCAGAGTATATGTTAAACTTCCAGTTTCATATCTGCTGGTTTACTGTAATTTATTCTGGTTGCAACCTGTCGCTCTAAAGACACCACTCCTGGTAGGATTACCTTTCTGGTGTGTCATCTAATCTAGTGTGGAAGTACAGCCTGGTAATTGGTTTGGAGGTTGGTTTTAATTGGGGATACCAGGTCAGGTCACAGGATCAGGTACAAGGAGTTATTTTAATATTTGTTTTGTTTTAATTTCTTTGTTAAATTAGCAAAAATAACTGATAAATGTAACTGCAGAAGAAACAAAAAACAAGAAATAAAAAAAATTATTATAATGAGTAGATGGATTAATAATCATTTTAAGTTGCATTATGACTCAACATAACATTTGTTTCAGTTTCACATTTCATTGGCCTAAGATGACATTATTCATAACCAGTGGGTGCCATGTTTTTTACTTTAATTTCAGTTTATACTGTATGTTTTTTCCCCCATTTCACATACTTCTTTTAATCATCTTGTCCATTCTCCTCACTTAGCCAAATGTGCAATTATACTGTACTTTTTTATGTTAAGTAAAAAAAAGAATACTGAACAATTATGAACATCTACAGTATTCAGGGATTACTCCCAATTCTGATTTGGACTGGAAAGGGAAGACAAATCCCCAAAACGTTATTCATAAACAGAAAAACGTTGGTCCAAAAGTTCATCAGCCTGAGACGGGACCAAAAAACATGTAAATAGTTTTAGCTCCAGTCTTATTTTGATAATTCTTTTTTGTTATCTGCTAATAACTTTCTATTTATCTTTCCAAGTATTTGCACGATTAACGATACGTGTATGGACATTTGTTTACATTTCATTCCACGTTTCATTCTCAGTGTCTCTGAGCTCAACTTTCCATTTTTTTTAAATGTACTGACCTTCTTGTGCCAGAGAGCATTAGCTTGACATAGCTGTCTTATTATTATTAATTACCCCATTCTATGTATTAATTATATCTTTTTCAGTGGTTGGTGTGAATCAAGATAGAGACTCAAGACAAATAAAATGGCAGTGAAACTAATGCAGATTCTGTACAGACTTTATTTATGAGAGCACACAGGGATCCCATAATAATACATAGACTAGAATAAATATCTATTGAATGCATCAACACAAAGCCACAAGCAGACTGGGAAAAATCTATTACAGTGAATATAAATTACATTTATATTCTAGCAGGTTGATGGCATGTGAGAGCTATCAGTTGGCAAATTATAGATATACCTGTGGCATTTACACTGTTAACGAGTTGTCAGTCACATATATTACGTTTTTTTTCTTGTTTGTATAGTTTTTTTTAAAATCTTTTTTTATTTATTTTTTTACAAAGGAAGCAAAAACATTAAAAAAAATTAAACAGTTTACAACAATTGACATAATTTGATAAAAATAAGAGACAATTTTACCAGAATAGATAATACAAGTATGGCTTATTTGAAGCAGTAAGCATGCAGGTTTTCCATAAATAATGTGCTTACAAATGCAGGTTGGCTAAAGCATTCTATTTTACACATAAAGGTACAATAATGTTTAGTTTTATTGCATTGTGTATATTCTTAAACAACATGAAACCTGGACAATAAGTGCTCTGATGAATTAAACTCTCCCTGATCAAAAACCAGGAGCTGTGATATAAAGCCTTCATGACCTCAGAGGTCAGGGACTGCTTTACCACGAAGGAGCAGGGCATTCAGGTGCCCAGCAGAAGGTGAGCCCATCACAATCCCTTGAACACTGCCCGAACTGTCCCGGTTAGCTGAAATCTACCCTGTGCATCTGCGTTAAAGTGAGTCTTGTGCTTCTGTGTGGTTGTCGGGAAGCTTGGTAGGCACTCTTTCCAATATAAAATGTCCCACTGACTGCGTGGACCTCGCAGACCGCTTGGGTCCGTCACAGGATTAACCACTTCTCATCTTAGCACAGGGGGACCTGCTGACACAAAACAGCTGCATGCTGAGTCAGCACAGCTACACTGATCTGCAGAGGGCAGAAACACACTCAGGGTGAGACACACACACATTTGACTGTAATGAGCTGAAAATTACACAAAACATTCACAGCAAGATCTAGATGGTTTGTTTATGCTCTTAGTATTCCCTTATGGAGCAAACATATACTGTCATACAGTAGACTGTCAAACAGCATGTATTTAAAGGGTCTGCATCTGCCTGTAACTACACTATACTGTCTTATAAAGCATTTATTAAATGCTTAATAATGCTTATAATGCTAAATAAGTGTGTGTTGTGATTTATTTTAATATACCAAATCTTCAAATGTGGATTTTCTTTTCTTTTTTTTGTACACTTGTGTGTTAAAGTTGTAATTCAAATACAATTATTACTTGTGTTTTTACATTGCGTTTGATTATGATATGACTTGAACCTACCAAGTAAAATACGTTTATCCACGTAAACTTCATGCAGCCTTCACATGACTGAGCAGACTCCGGTCTGCACAGGTTTGCTATTGTGGTTTTTACCATATCTGAGAGAAAGAAACAGAAAAGCATATTATGCGTCCGTCCTGCTGTCATATCAGAAATTCAAAATGCACAACATTAGATGAAGTTTGTACAAACCCATTCAGGTTGGCAGGCTCTGAGTGGTAGACATGCTTGCCCTGCTCAGCTATAGTGGGAGCGTGGTGTGTGCCGCACTGGCTCTGAGTGACCTTCAGTGAGTGGTAGTGGTTCTTCAGGTCAGCCTGGCTCGTGGGCAGGGACATGTGATTCGTCCCGTTTAATTTCCCGTTCGTCTCCGCCACCATGGGGGTCAGTTTGTCTGGATCAAGACACTTGCGGTTTTTCGTTGGGGAGGACACGTCGACCACTTTGATGTCTGGGATGCTGGCCTGCCTCAGAACCAGCTCTGAGTGAGCCAGCTGCAGCTTCTTCATGTGGTTGATGGCTACGGCAGCGTTAAAGGCTTGCTGTAAAGTGAACACAAACGGGGGATAAGTTAAAGAGATCTTAGAGGCATATAGTTCCACTTCAACTGCATTCATGATGATGTATGGAAGACAGAGACTGATACACCAAATCTGAGTGTTCAGTAGATTGTCCAGACAATAGATTCAAGTTTTATAGTCATATTTACTGCTGAACAATCAAGTGCACTTTGTTTCTCCTGACAGTAAAAGCCCTACATCCGCCGTCACTGGAGAACAATATCTTATTAAAACTGTCCTTAATCAGGAAGGATTTAAGTAGACACCCGATTAATCTAATACAAACTGCAGGTCCTTAATGAGCTTACCACATCAAAGCCAACAAATCTGGACTGACCTTCCATTTGGTCTTGGCAAAGTTCTTTTGGATCTGAACACTGACAGAATAGTAGATGTCCTGACTCCGGGCCGTCTTTCCAATAATCCTGGAAAACAGAGGACGGAACACAACGCTTTACATTTATTTTAAGGTAGAGGCTCATCCTGAACCCATCTTAGTGTCCTAATACTGCGTGGATTCACTTCATCTCCTGTGCTTCACACCCATTTCTTTCATGAATGTGAGTATAAGTTTGTACTAGTAAATGAATCTGGAACAGTCTAACTCTGCTTAAGAAATGCAACTACACTGCAGGGAATTATTTACTCCTAGTCTAAAACGAGTTTAAATGAACATTTTAAGAGTTTAACTAGTGCATCATACCCAATATGTGTGATCCAAGGCTGATAATTGACACTCACCAGGGATGTCTGAGCGCTAGGTCGGTGGTGTAGCGCATGCTGGGATTCTTCTGCATCATGTTACGGATGAAATCCTTAGCTGCAGATGAAAAGATGATTCACTCATTAGGGCTGAGCTCTGTATGGGGGGAATATACAATATGTCTACTACTGCTGCTCAGTATATTTACCAGATTCAGAAATGTCGTCCCAGAAGGGGGAGTCAAACTCATACTGCGCCTTCATGATCTTGGAGAACAGTCTTGACTCACTTTCTTCATAAAAAGGAGGATATCCACAAAGTCTGCAACATAAAGATTTATCATCATTGGAAGGAAAGGGAAACTAAAGAATGGGCAACAGTAAAGTGCATGTTTATGTACTAATGTGTGCAGGTAACAGCGCGTATAAAGGATTGGTCACTAGGTGGTGCTATGGCTCAATGGCTGCATCATTATTCCGTATTTAGGTAACTGTGTCACACTAAACATACCATGTCCAGCAGTAGCTTTTAATCTGAAAATCCTGCCACTTAAGCAAAGCTGAGCTAGTCATGTTTGCACACATTCACCATGACTTTATACTTACAAGATGTATGTGATGACTCCAATAGACCAGCAGTCCACTGCCTTGCTGTACGGCTTCTGTGCCAAAACCTCAGGAGCTGAAAGTGAGGAAAAAACGTCAAAGCTACGCCAGTGCTGTTTCTTACTGTTACACACCTGTGGGTCTTATATTCTCCGACCCGTTTGAGCCCCTTACTCGATCAGTGTCCATAAATCATTCATTAGACAGATGTGTTTCCTTACCTACATATCCTGGGGTGCCACAAGCTGTTGACATGATGTCATCTTCTACCATCTTGGAGAGGCCGAAATCACTGATCATGATCTTGGACTGTTCCTCCTGGCTGTAGTACAGGATGTTCTCTGGCTGCAAAGACAAAGACAGGAGAGCTGTTCAAACACCTGAAGAATATGAATATGAATATTTCACGTTCTGTAAAAGCACCCCTGCTGGAAATGGAGCTGCACCACTGAATGTATGTATGTCATTACAGGCAAAACTGATTCTTAATCTTGTTCAACTTTTTCCCAAAATATTGTGTTTCTCTTATTTAAAGTATTAATATATAAACCGTACCTTGAGGTCACGATGCACTATGCCATTTTGGTGCAGATAGCTAACGGCCTGCAACACCTGCTGGATCACACTGCTGGCATCCTTCTCTGAGTACACCCCCCGGTCCAGTATACGGTCAAAGAGCTCACCGCCTGATACACTGGTGAGGAGATAAGAACTACCATCAAAATTTGATCTTAAAACCCAATTTAATTAGCTAAAATGCTAATTTAAATAATAATATAAAGGTGGAAAAACTCACAGCTGCATGATAAGATAGTAATGGGTCCGACTTTCATAGAAATCCTCCAACCCTACGACGTTCTCGTGTTTGATTCTGTTAAAATAACAAGCTTTCATTATGACATTGCTGTCCTAATCCCACAACAGAAATCACACATTTTCAACATAAACAGCAGTCAAAAGAGAGAGCTGATCAACGTGATTCCTTCCCACACTGACTACTGAGAGAATATGAAATGAAAGATGAAGGCTCATTAAAATTCACCTTCTCAACACTGCAATCTCATTCTCCAGATTGAGGTCTCTTTTCTGTTTCTTCTTCACACACTTCATGGCAAACATCTTTCCCGTCTTCTTCTCCTTCACCATGTACACCTCTGAGAACGCCCCCCTGTTAATTAACACATGACACACAAAATGAGATATTAATGATGGAGTCACTGATTGCTTTGAAACATCACAGAAAGAGATACAGAGTAACCTCCAGTCAGAGGAAATAAGTCTTCCTTCTTATTAATTGTTAATAAAATATGGGGCCCTTAACAGCACAGAGCGTCAGCCTCTTGCTAAGTCTACAGAGAAAGTTTTTGCTTGCTTCCATTTCTCTATTTTGTTACCGTGCCAGATGTGAATGATTGTTTTTTTAGTTAATATAGATCATTTATTTGCAGGGCTTCAGATACATGAAATTCTTTATGATTTAGAGACTAGTGTGAGTCCCATTTGTCTGTCTGGGTAAATGTTGCACAATCCATTTGACATTTTAGGTAATACACTTATTCCCCTTCTTGGCAACGCTTAGACGAAAAAGGTCGATACCGCTCTCATATCTATCTGTTCAATAGGAGATGGGAACATGGAGAAACAGCAAGCCTGGATCCATACAAAAACCAAAAGTTTAAAAAAACGAAAACAATGCAGAATTATTTCTGACCCCTGTGAATCCACAAATTTGTACAGATTAAATGCAGAGATATAACACAATAATAATGAGCTTTAGAGGATCTGGAGGGTGGATTTTGTTATCTTCAGACAAAAAACCGAGCTAGCAACATTAACCCACTAATAAAGGTAGATTTCAGGATGTTTACTGTTTTGTAACTATGTGTAATTAGAGGATTTTATAGTTGCATCAGAAATTGCAATATCAAGGGGTTCAACTAAGTTCTACTAAAGATCTCTGTGGATTAACTATTCACATGGTAGAGGCTTATTATTGGACTGTGCGGTGCTCTGTGTCCATGCTATCTTCAGCGCTGTCTGGGAATAGTTGTTCTACCTGGTGGATTAGGCCCTTTATCCCTGACGCAATGGAACCGGTGGCGGGCTGCTCTGTGTGCAGAGGTCAGAAACTGAGCATGTGTGGCAGGGATCCTTAAGAACAACAAGATCCTACATACAGTACAGGCCAGGTCACAGACAGGTGTCAAGGGCTGTGGGCAGACATGGGATACCACGACCCTGTCCTCTGTCCATAAAGTGCTGACCCTGAAGGAATGTACTTTAATGAAGATCAACACGCCCGCCTGCTGGAGGACCTGAGTACCTTTCATAGTATTTATTTAACAATGTGAATCATAGCTGTCTTCAGTTTCATTTCCTATGTTGCATGTGTATTCTGTCCCATTTGGGTAATGTTTGTCCAACACACACTCATACACACTGCCTAATTCCAGCTCAGGGAAGCAGACAGGAACAAACTGCCACCATAGCACCATCGAGGGACTTCACATCCAATTGCTTAGCTGATTTCTCCTTGGTTACCAGAGCTCATTTTCTTCCTCGGATCTCCTTGAAGCTTATTGTGAGTCTCAAGAGAAATCATCAATCAAGCTCTAAACATGAGTGCCAGACCGCATCCTTTATCACAAAAAGACAGAGGGCAATCAGAAATCACAGAACTTCAGTGTGTCGCTTGAAATTTCAAAATGTTAACTAGAATCAATGTTCTTTGTGCTTTTTGGGTCATTCTGGGAGTTACATTTACCCCTGAGAGACTGCGTCCTGATTGCCAGGAAACCGTCATGATGTTTACACTATGTGTGATGAGGCCCGATGGGGAAAGGCTGTGTTTGGTGTTATACACAGTCTCCTGTCCCTCCTGGATTCTCCTTCCTCCTTTTTATTGTGATGGAAACATGAAGAGAGAAAAAAAACTAAACCATATACTCAAGGAATGGCCAAAACAGCTGAGAGTGTTCACTCTGTTGACACCCTCAGCAGAAATGAAAGGCAGTCCAGCAAAATCCCTCAGCCGCTCAGAGTCTCTCTTTTGGTTCCTTGTCTTTATTTCTTTTTCAAACTATATATCATCATTATGTCTTGAAATTGTTTTTTAATACTTCAGGTGAGGCGTCACAGAAAGAAAGTTATCACAAGTTCTTCTACAAGTCGTCGCCCCTCTTTTCCATAAAACAACCAGACGTGATTTTCAAAGTGTTTGGGGAAATAAAAGTAATTGCTTCACACTAATTGGACAACATATTAGATCATCTCCTGTACTCAGCAGGGCCTCGCCTCCTTCACAGTCCAATCACCGCTGTTGTGTTCAGCCAAAACCTCTCAGCAGCCTCCTCAGCCCTCAGCACAGATCCGTTCTGTTTTCCAGCAACATGCTGACATCACTCCAGCATCACTCATGCCTTTATTTACTGTTGGCCTCTGATCTGCCTCTCTCCAGCCACTCGCTAAATGCTCAAGTGTGCTAGAAGACCTGCTGATTATTAATGCTGACCTCACACAAATTAGGCCAGCACAAGAGGCTGTTAACTGTGTGTGTGTGTACAGTATACAGTAACATTATCTTCATTCAAAATTACTGCAGGTGAACTTTGACCTTGACATTGCTTTTAGGGCTGCAACTAACTCATATTTTCATCACTGAAAGTTTGTTTATTTTCTTGATTTATCGTCTATAAAACGTCAGAAAATAGTGAAAAATGGCCTAAAGCCAAAGGTGATGTTATAAAATGTCTTCTTTGGTGCGACCAACAGTAAAAAACTCAGACATTTAGTTCATCATCACATTAGACAAAGAGAAGCAGCAAATCTTCATTACCGAGAGGCTAGAACCAGAGAATATTTGGCATTTGTGCTTAAAAAATAACCTAAATGATTAACCAGTTATCAAATCAACTTTTTAGGTTCTCTTTTTTGTGAGTAGAGTTACACAATTCAATGAGACTTTAGAGAGAAGAATTTAAAGTTCCAGACATATTGTTAGGTATGTGCTTTTTTTGTGAATGAATGGCTAAGCTGACCCCACAGCCAGACACCATCAGGACAGTTCTAACCCTCCAACAGCCCTGAGCGTCTTGTTGTCTAAGACCTCAGTAAAGTAGGCCTCCTCGTGTCAATCCAATCAAACCAGTAATCTGTCCTCCAACTCAAACAGCATGTCGAGGGTCTGTAATCACTCCATGTCCATGGCAAGTCAAGACTTAAGTTTTACTGTAGTTGCTCTCAGTAAAACAAAACATTCAGAAATGCAAAATATTCCCAGGGGGGACTAAGAGATTCTACAAATTAACACTTGTTTGCTCAGTAAATATTAAGATTTCTTGAATTAATGAATTGCATGTTCCGGGAGAAGGACCCTCTTCTCTGTTGCTCTTCCTGAAGTCTCTTACATTTTTCACATTAAAGGTTTTTTTTCTTTTCCAAATTTAGAGTCTAAGCATAGAGGGTGTCGTATGCTGTACAGACTGTAAAGCCCTTTGAGATACATTTCTGATATTGGGCTGTATAAATAAAATGGTCTTGACTTCACTCAGTATTTTGTATGTTAATAAATTGTGCCATCTGATTGAGAAAAATGTACTTACGATCCCAGCTCCTCCATGATGTCGAAAACCTCCTGGATGTTTTCAGTGTTCTTCTTCCACACATAGTCGGCCTCTTGACGACCCATGTCTGCAGTTGCTTCAACAGGGATTTCTTTCAGAAGTAAGGAGACAGAAAAAAACTTAAGAATAGATGTCAACACCAAAGTCCCACAGTGCCCTGCCTTAATGTCCAGACTCCCTCATCATCATATTCATAACGATTTAATCCTTTGGGATTACTGAGCAGTCATGAGAAAGCAGGTATGAAGGTTGACACGTCTCCGCTGCTGCTCAGACTGTCTGCGGGAGGACGAGCAGATGAGACAGACATGAGTCTTTGTCTGGCAGACAAAGGTTAGGGCACTAATCCGTGCTGTAACTAGCACACAGGAAGCACTGCCAGGGCCGACCCATCCTGTAACAGGGCCAGGTGATACTGTATGGTACTGCAGTGTATGCATAAAGCTGATCAATAATCTGCCAAACCAGAAGAAAAGTTAAGAGGAATATGTTGCCTTGACTTTTTTTCTGAATTTGTCAGAAAATGTAAACTTAAAAAAAATAAGCAATTAAACAATTATAGAAGTTGTTGGCAAATTAATTTTAAAAAGCTCCATGCACAACTCTGATCATATTAAATTGTTATATTAAGCAAATACTTGTCTTTACTTAAAAAGTAAATAATCTATAAAGATAAATAATCTATAAGGATTAGAAAGTCGGGAAGAATGGCTTATCTAATAAAACCGAAGGTACTAAGAAGGATTAGGAACACTTTAAATGAGCAGGTCACCCAGTTTGGTTTCCTGCCCTCTTTTCTCTTATATAAGGGATAAGCAACTCTTGATCTGGAGACCTGACCTCCTCAGGGGTAAAAATACCAAAGAACAGCCTGGAACAAGTGATTTAAAATGCAGAATAAATGTCTTAACTACCGCAAACAACGCACCTGTTGAACATATAGGATGAATATGTGTGGTGTTATCCATGCAAATCCACATGAACTCAAATGTTGCAGCACAATACATTCAAGACATGATATATACTATTTATCATTTTCTGAATACCCCCACATTAATTCAAATAACATCTATTCACAAACTGAGGAGCTTTGTATTCCCTGTTGCTCACTCTGGATTCCCCCGCAGTAATTCTTTCTTTCACCCCTGCATTGTGTTGTTAGCAGCACACTGAACATGCATGCGACCCAACAGAAGATCACACTCTCCTGCACAGAAACCCACTGGGTGCTGGAGAATGCGTCCACAAACCACAAACAGCAATGCAAAAGTAATGTGCACAGTCAGAACCTGCAGCGGTGATCAGCATTTCAATGCTGCTCTTCTCTCTTATCTGCAGTCCAGACACGCGTGGCGTTTTCCGTGACGCAAATCAATGCAAAGATAATAAAAACCTGACAAACGTGGCACAAAGCGGAGAGACGGGTCGGTCTGATAATAACTGGCGGCGGATGCGCTCGGGGTCGTGCAGCCCCCCCTTTCTTTATGCCACCAGCAAGTTGGCTGCGGCATCCGCGTCAGAAAGATCTCTCTGCGGCAAAAAGGGGCGAATGATCAGATATTCCGATCAAGCTTGAACCGCAAAGAGCTCACGGATGAGCAACGACGCTGCCAGTTCCAATCAACTCGTGAAATGAGTCATCATGCTGAATAAAGGCAGCGGCGCTCAAAACTGGCCACATTACGCACAGAATACTGATCAGCCAACACCGGCCCTCTACCTGAGTCCTGGCTGGAGAAACAAAAACAAAAACAAACAAAAAAACCTAAAAACAGTCCCCAAACTGCAGGTCTACAAATGAAACAACAGTGCTTTGAGATACCCAGGTCCCAGTAATTCACTTCACACAGAGGAGGTGCATTCACCAACAGAGTGGCTGAGACTTACCTTGAGACTCTGCGCTGTTGGAGCTCTGCTCTGACTCTCCTGCCAACTGCTCGCCGAGGTCTGGACAGAATACTGTGTCTGGGACCTTACAAGTACCTGTTGTCAAGTCAGAGATAACATCCATGGAGAGAGCCGAGGGGAGGGGCTGCCAGTCTCACAGGTGCTCATAGAGACTTAAGGCGCAGACTCCAGGTCAGGCTTCTGCTGCTTTATCTGCAGCATCATTCATCTTTCCGCACAGCTACAGGTTTATACGGGGGGGAGGCGCGTCTTGCGCAGAAAAGAGCAGCTTTTCCCCCAATAAACTGCACGATTCATTCAAAACAGTTCGCAACATGTGCACGCGCATGCGCAAGTACGCGCACACGCACGCTTCAGCAGTGATAGAAGTGGACTACCATTTTGAAAAGCAAGTCAGTGGTGGTTTCCAGATAACATCAGTGAATATTGATTTGACAGCAGGGTGGCAGTTTCTAATAAGGCTTTATAGATTATAACTAATAGGTTGATTAATAGTTACAGTGCAATGTTTTATTGCCTCACAACACTGAATCAAAGCAGAATTAATGTGGCTTTCCAGGTAAAAGAAATGTCTCTACAAAGCGATCTAAAAAAAGATCCCTTTGAGACATATATTAAGACATATATGCAAATAGTGGAAGATAATGTGTTGTTTTTTATATATAAAATATCCACATTAACATCCTTAAAAAGTCATCTACTCCTGCGACTTCAATATCAATGAATATTCAAATGTTGTCCTTTTTCATTTCAAAAGTTGTCCTACTTCACTGTGAAGTCCATTCTCAGTGTGTGTGCACTGGTGGCTTCAACTTTCTACAACACACATACTGGACCAGGATGGACTGACAAACTATTTGTCACCAATCATGCTCATAGGGCCACATTTCAGCAGAACTCTGAGCATACGTCTTTCTGCGCCATCATCCATCATTTGGTAGATGCACCTCTGGCAGCAAATACAGGAGTTTCACTTCCATGTGATTTTAAGTCGTCAAGCTGGTGAATATTTATGCCAACAAGCATTTTGTTTGTTTTCTAGGTGTGATAAATTTGGAGCTCTGTTTTCACTTAATGTCTTTTTCTGTTGATCAGTGCCAAACAGCCACATTAAATCAGCTTTTAATCACACTTTCACAAATTAATTAAAATTCAACACTTTTATCGGCCCTGCAATAAATAATTAACTAATGATTTATAAATCAACCAATAATAAGGTTGTGAAAAATCCCTTTTGATAGAGTTTAGCCTTTGCATTTGACAATTAGCCTGTATAAATGTAGTTTTAATGCATTCATTAACATTCACATGCTTTCTTTTACTTAATAAGCCATCGAGACTGAAGGTGTAAAAGTCATTAATAAAGCATGGTCACAATAATTAATTCAGTCTTCTGGAGCTCTTTTGGTTTACCTGACGATGAGGAGCTAACCAAAAAGACGAATGAATTGTGCTAGAGGAGGATAAATACCAGAGAGATTTGTCATAACCTGGCAACCCAAAAGACATTCCTATTAAGAGCATGCCTCATTAGAAACACTAGAAAGTGATCACATTGTACACCTGCACTGGCCACCGCCTGTGATTACTACAGCATTAGGCTCTAAGTATTTCGCAGTATACACTGTGGTGTTCAGAGGCAACCTTTAACAGGCTTATGTATTAATCTGAAGCAGGTGCTCAATTCACCTGCCACATGAGGAGCCATACAGAATGCAGGTCACGTTGATAACGCAACCTCCATGTGTTTACTGCACACAAAGAACAAGGGCACGAAACAAGTGTGCTCGTGCCATGCAAAATAAATCATACATAAATATTTGTAATCACAAGGCGCAGCTACAGCAATGCAGGCTCGTCTGTAAGATAAAAAAAATGGTTATTATGGTTTTATTGGCCATCAAAGGCTGCAGTGTGTTTCATACCATCACAGTGCAGCCCACCTGAGTTTTAGACACATGCTGTAAATAGAAAGACAGAATATCAATAGCTGGACCGGATCATCGTGTTGTCATGGATACTGGTTCGAGAGGGTGTCATGGTCATCTTCCATGTCAGGTGTTTTTTTTTGTTTTAGAACCAAAATGAGTTGGAAGTCTTTTCCAATCAGGAGAGAAGGCATCCGGCCTTCAGGAAACAGCAGCTTCTATAATGAGAGTGTCAGGTTTGATGATGGATGTTAAACTGTACAAAAAGCAGCTCAGTCAACGGGTCACAGTTATTACAGACTCCAATTAGAGAGCGTTTGAGCAGCACTGAAGGACAATTACAAACACCAGCAAATAGCTGCTCAGAGAATTGTTTTTATAATCTGAGCTATCATGCCAATTATTCCAAAATCATTTCAGAGTGAAATATTGCACTTTTTAGTGCACTTCATCTGTCTGACAGCTAATAAGCTACAAGGATTTTACATAGAAAAGTAGAATGAGCTTCTAAAATGAATTAGAAAAGTTGTATAAAAAAATCATTTTAGCCAACAATTTCATCCTTGAAGCCTTATTTTCTTTTTTTTTTAAATGAATAAAAGAAAAAACATGCAAGAGCTGTAGGAATATTCCAACATGTTTTCAATGTAAATAAGCCTGTTCCAGGTGTTATTTATCATATTAGACACATACACTACTGCTCAATTTCAGAAAAAAAAAAAACATCAGCAGTTGGATTTTGATTGTTAATTTTAGGAGAAAGGAGACATTTTTTATGACTTCATAATCAATTTTACTGTAAATAAGTTTTTTTTTATATATATAGTATTACAAGTAGCATAAAGGGAACTACAAGCTGAATTTCATTGTACAACCCAATTAAATTACCTTGTATTGAGTACAGGTATATACTGTATTCTTACCTCACTCTTACTCACATGTAGACAGACATGCCTTAAGACTGCTGCTTGTAATGGAGTATTTTTACACTACAGAACTGATAAAAATTTAATTGAATTGATACTTTACTCAAGGTTCAAGTGCTTCTTCGATGTCGTGTCTTTAGAGAGCACAGACACCAGGCCTGACTCATGTTACCTTACATCACCAACAAGCTTACAGGAGAGACAACAGGACCAGTTTGAACTTTTTAAGCCCTGCCAGTGGGATTAGCCAAGACTCCAGCTTCTATTATGTCATTAAAGTGATGTAAAACAAAGCTCTTCATTCTCTTCTGAGGAACAACAAAACAATTAACACCACCACAGGTGCTTAAGATCCATTGCAACTACATGAACAGTCAATGGGATTACACTAAAGGGATCAGGTAAATGTTCGATGCCTCATATAACCTGATCTGCTACTAAGAAGTTTGCAGAACTAAAGTGAAGCAGCTCCCACATGAAGAAGAGTCATAGAAGACCTTAATAACTCATCACATCTAAAGACCTTCAAAAAATCAAAAGGTAATCAGGATTTAAATCCACTAAACGAAAAAAAAAAAAAAGTTATTTTTATAGTGTTACGTAAATGAATTAAATTGGTGCTAAAAGTGTTCATTGCTCACATAACCTGAGATTAAATGGAAGTTGGAGTATCCATAAAACGAGTGACCCCTGTGTGACACTTGAACACAAACAAGCTTATATAAAGTAATTAATCACTGGTCCAAAACAAGATATTTTTTCTTTTTTTTTTGTGAAAAGTGTTAAAAGTGTTATACAATAAACATGAAACCTGTGGGCAGGGTTCCTGTAATCATCAGCTGTAATTATTCCCGCTGGCTTCATTTCAGAACATCCAGAAGTAGTGCTTGTCCTCCACACAGGCTTCCTCCGTGAGATCATACGGTCAATTAGTATATGATGCAGTTAGTCAACAGACACGTATTTGTAAAAATTAGGCTATTTCTGAAGATAAAACAAAACACTTATGTGTATTATGTGTTCTTATGTGGGTGCTGCGATTTTTGCATTTTAAGTTTTATTTTTAAAAATAGCCCTTAAGGACATGTTCTTTAAAATGATTTAAGGTAATTTAGCATCTTATTTTTAAAGCAATTCATATCATACATTTGTACCAGACATGAATGTGACTAAACACAGACATGTAGCATCCTTTGTAGCATTTTAGTTATTTCTAAATATTATTTTATGAACTAATAAGTTAAATAAAGTAAAAATATATATTAGATAGATAGAAGATATAAGCTACAGTGGTGGAATGTAACTTAACTGCATCAAGTGCTGCACTTAAAGCACCAGGATTTAGTGGCATCTAGTGGTGAAGTTACAGATTGCAAGTAACTGAATACCACTCAGCCAAGTGTGGAGGAAAAAGATGGCCGCAAAACCTGCAGAAACACAAAAGGTTTGATTTGTCCGTTCTGGGTAGAAACATGATGGTTTAACATGGTGGACTCTGTAGAAGAGGACCTGCTCCTGTAGATAAAACTGGCTCAAGCTAAGGTAAAAAAACCACAACGATTCCTATATTCAGGTGATTATACAATAATGAAAACATTGTTATGAATATTATATTTCATTTCTGCTACTATATCCTTCTAAACATTACACACTGGACCTTTAAGTACAATTTTAAAGTACTTGCGTTCTTTACACGAGTATTTCATACTTCTATCTCACTATCTGACAGTTATAAAAACCTATTATCATCTCATTAAATATGAAATGTATAAATAGATTTAACTACAGAATGTGAAGCGTATTAGTAGTAAGTAAATAGTAATAAAAAATGCTTTTACACATCTGATGCAGGTTCTAGTAATGATACCTAATCCAATAGTATTAATTATATTGAACCACATACTGAATGGGGTCATTCTGCTCAATGGGAATACTTTTACTTTTGAAACTTCAAAGTATATTTTGCTTGGATAAAACATCTGTACTTTTACTAAAGATAATATTTGATATTGCCAGGAACTTTCACACTCATGTATTAGGGAGTTATTTGTCATTGGTTTTTATTTTTAAGTAAAGGATCTGAATACTTCTTCCATCTCTGATAAAATGAATTACTGTCGTATTTAGTTTACTGGCAGTCTAGAGGGACAAGTGTGCACCCTAGAGGTCAGAAGTTATAATGGCAGACAATCCCTTTATATTTACAGTTCTGTTCATGGTCAAGGTTATGGCAATATGCCCAGTAACAAATAAAACAGCTGACAAGAGCGGACATGCATTAGCTAAACCACCGAAGACCTTAATGTATTATCAAAAACAGGAAAACTAAAACATCAAAGTGCATGATCTTTATTTGATATACTGTGAAGTGCCGTCCATGTGGCACAAAATGGCAGCAGAACAATGAATATAAGGCTCCTTTTCACTAACAACAAACTGCTCTTTGTCTTGATTTTGGCTATTCCGCCAGCACATGAATAGGAACACCTGCAAATGATAAATGATGGCATTTATAAATAGATGAACCAGTCAGTTAAGTCTGTTTTTCATTCACCCCGAAATCCCCTGTGTTCGTATGATACACCACCAGTTGAAGAGCAGCCGACAGTTGAAGGCCATCTGTGAAAACAGTAAGTCTGATCCGAGAGGACTGAACGATCGACCCCTGAGATTAGCTATCCAACATGCTATTAGGGAAGGACATGGTGAACAGCAGGAAGTGCTACGAAATCCATAAAAGTCATTAATGAAATGTAAACTGAATAAAATGAAATCATGAACACTAATAATGGAATTTAATAATTCTAATATTTTAACTACCTTTGTGTTACGCCTCCACCACCATCATATTTCTAGAATTTATTCAGTATACAAATACTTGACATAGAATTATGATATGTATATTATGCCATTATGTACAGTAGCACGTGATGCCACAAGTAAAATCCACATTAAAATATTTTCAAAAACACCATCAATCCTGTGTTTTCAACCTAGATCTATCTCCAAGGCTCTAAAGCCAGCAACTGCAGGTTCCCCACCGCTGTAATTTTATGCCGCTCAGTCCCGGCTTTGCGCTTTAGTCACATGACACCGAACCAGGCCATGTCCCCGGCTGGGTAATGATTATCTGCTGTGTGGTGGTGGTTAAATAGTGCAGCAGACACTAGAGGTCTTTTCTCATACGTTGTCTGTTGCCGTGTCCCCACTACCAATGCCAGGCAGGGCTCAGCCGAAGAGTTGTTGGACGCAGCCAAGTCAAAGCCTCAGATTTCCAGGTTTATGTCTCCCTCTAGGGACAACTTATATTCACTCAGCCTCTGGTCCTTAAGCCCAAACTCCTAATTTGATAAAGAGGAACCGCTTGTGGTGGGTTACACTCTGCCCATCTTTGGCTTCTCAAAAGTTAAGTTTCAGGTTACAAGTCTGAAAGCAGCGAGTCTCACATACAGCAGATGTGAAGGCATCCACTCTGCAGTACATACAGGTTCATGCTGAGTATGCGTGTGCGTGAAAGCCTTACGCCCAGTGGACCTGAGATCCTGCTTTCGAGTGCCGTTTGGCCTCCCTGATGGAGAAGGCCTCTTGCTCTTCGCTAATCTCCTTCAATCTCTTCTCCTCCAGAAACGCCACCAAGGAGTCCCTCATGTCCACCACCTCGATCATCTGTTGGAGCACCCGATCTTCTTCCGCCTGCTGCTCTGGTGTCTTGTCTGCCGGAAAAATACATATGCACACTTTAAAGTTCGCTTTATAGTAACAATGTATTAATGGCAATGTGAAACTTGTTGCTTGTAGTGATTAGACTACAGGGAATCACTTTACAGAGCTTTATAGTGAGGTGGCTGTGGCTGAGGAGGTAGAGCAGGTTTTCCACTAAGAGAAGCTTCACTTTGTGTCCCTGGGCAAGATACTGAACCCCAAATTTCCCCAGAGTCTGTGCCATCGGTGTGTGTGTGTGTGTGTAAATGAGTTTAGTTTCTGAAGAGCAGTTGGCACCTTGCATGGCAGTCTCTGCAATCAGTGTATGAATGTGTGTGGGGTGAATGTGACGGTGTAAAGTGGTCGGAAGACTGGTAAACGTGTGACAGTCAGAGAGCCATGTTTCCCAGACCAAGAACAGAGCTAATGAGGGTGAATACTGGACAAAAACTCATAAATAATGATGATGATAATGTTGTTCTGTAATTGCTAGATCCCTAAATAAGCAACTGAGTCTCCCAGAGATACTCGGTTTTGTCTTGTCAGTAATTTATTTTCTCTGTAGCAACTCCTCAAATGAGCAATCAGAGACTCCTGAGGTTAAATTGTGCTTCCCAAAGATCTAAAAGGATAGGTTAACATTTTTTTAAAATACTTTGAAAGCACTGGTGGTCGCTTTAATTGTTCCTCCTGTCCACACCGGCCGCAAAAGAGATCACTTCTTAGAGCAAAGTCAATAGAATAATGAGGCATCTGAGATAATCAAGTCAAGTAGGTTCAAGTCCTTTTAGAACAAAAGTCCCTCTTTCTGTACTATCCCTCCACTCCAGTTTAGTGCAGAAACACTGATGTGGAGTCATGAGGAAGGAATACGGTTCTAAAAAGACAGGAACTTTGGAAATTACCTACTTTATGTCACAAACTCAGACTGCTGTGCGCCTCATATTAACTTCAGTTGAAGTTGCAGTGGACTGTGGATTTTGTCCCCCGTCTCTCCACACTGACAGGGATCTCTTTGCAGCCAGTTTGGACAAAAGGAACAAACACATCCACCAATAATGCTTTCAGGCTACATAATGGGCTTATGAGTATTGTTTGAAGACAGAGATAAAAGACTGTACCTGTCCATTTAAAGGATTAACTATAAAAGGACACACAGACTAGCCCTGCCACATGAAGGCAACCAACAACCTTACCTCAACTTACCTCACCGTACGCCTATATTACAAAATGCGCTGACTGTATGCAGGATTGGGTGAACAGGAGCACAACGCCCAAGCACTGATGTTCTCATTAGAGGAGGAAACGTGCAATAATTGTTTCAGCAGCCCGGGCTGAACACAACTGGGGCTTGTGTCCTATTTAGGTTGCTCTCTTCTAACTGCTTCAAAATCAATAGGCCGATTCAAGAACCTTCAACAACAAATGTGCTTATGTGAGCACACCAAAGTACACACCATTCAGCTCCATGTATTTCCTGAGCTCCAACTCCAACATGCTCTGCTTGTCTTCGAGTTCCAGCTGTCGAGACCTGAGAGAAAAACAAACATCAGCTGAGTCATGTCAACATTACATCCTGCTATACCCGCAGGTCATCATAAGGCCATATGACAAACAGAGTGACTATGAAGAAGACTGGTTGCTACCATGGGAAGAACAAACAGTATCCCCAGTGTTTAGAGGTGGAAGTCTGCTGTTGTGGACCTTCTGGCTACTGTGTCACTTCTACTCTGCACAAAAGCTGTGCTGTATTCCCAGACAGACTGTACAGGATTTTACTGTGTAGCACTGTTTGAATTTACAAGCGAGCCAATAAAGGTGTACACTTACGCCACCATGAGGTCAGACTCCTCGGAAACCAACGCATTCTTCTCGTGGACGAGCTGGATCCAGTGTTCGATCATATCAGGGGATCCGCTACTGCCTGGAGGTTGAAAAATACATTTTTTTTGGTTATCTGTGCGTGATGGTACGTTTAAAAAAAAAAAAATGAGTAAGGTTTGTATGGAAAGTCTAGATATAGTTTTGTGGAAGTAGATTTATGTGCTGCCTGTGACACTCACCCATGTGAGTGAGCGTGTCTAAAGACAAACTGGGAGCCTTCAAGCTAACATGCATCTCTCTATTTCTGGAGGCTGTGAATTCAGCTGACTTATGAAAGTTAAACATTGTACCCCCATATATATATACACACACATGTATTTTGTATTTTTAGAGTAATATTTCTAGTGCTCATTATATTCAGTTTCTATGGAAACACTGTACTTTTTTTAATCAACTGCAGCTCATTTTGTGATTTCTCACCATCATTCGCTTCACTTTCTATTACCAGAAGAGAGGGAGTGTAAGTAAGGACATTGTTCATTACTAAAATATTAAAACAAGGAGCTTTTAGTATCCGCAAAGAAAAACTACAGGTCTGCGTTTAACGTTTGGGTCTTACCAGCCTCTCCTCGCAGAGTTCGCTCCAGCTCTACACCCTTGTCCTCCAAATCCTTGAAGGTCACCTCTATCTCTTCCAGCCTCCTCTGGATGGACTGTAAACCACAGAAACAAGAACGAGTAAGAAAGGTACTCAAAAAAAAGTTATAATAGTTAAGATTTTCATTTAATCTGCAGTAGGCTTTCAATATATTTACATTCCATAATTGTTTATCTATATGGTAGTTTTCATTGTTGCCATTCCCATGCAAGATTTAAATGGCACAACTAAGCATGAGGGATTCATAAGAAGTGATGCAGGTATGTGTTCCTGCGTTACTGTTTTTAATTCCATCTCACTGATGTGTTTACTGTTCACTCTCCCACAGCTGTACCAGAGTTTATTAAATTACTGCTAATACTAAATTACAAATTTCCCACTGCTGCTACTGCTGCTCCAAATTAAAAGTGTTCATCTGGTGTAATAGGGAGTGACTTTTATTGTGAAGAAGCCCTAGGAAACATATTTGTCACAGCGATTGTTCATCAAAAATGTGTCTACAAAACATGGCACAGTCATTATTTTAAATATCGCAGGAAGTAATGAGACGAGAAGGAGCAGCCACAGTGAGCTTTCAGACAGGCTGCACACATCCAACTCCTCAGCAAGGTAACTCTTTTCCCTGTGGTCTGGTGATGTGTGGAAAACTACTTACGCAGCATGCAGCAGGAAATTAAACAGTGGTTTCTCAATGGTATAATGGAAGAAGGCTGATTTTTGACTGACTTCTTACTTAAAAACAACTTCAGTTTGTTTGTTTGCACTGTCAAAAGATACATCAATTGCTCTTTTGTTGTATTTCTGACAAGTGTCCAGTGTTTGCTGGCCCCAGAATGCTGAAACCACACTTGCTGTTACCACTAGTGACCACTGGTGTCGCCAAATCAACCAGGAACTAAATCTTGAGGATTGTAAAAACTGCAACACATAATCTAAATGTGTTGACTAATTTATGACCAACTACAAACACAATGAGTTCATAGTTTCACTGAGTGAAGCTGAAGAAGCCACGGACCAATAAAACATAGATGAGTGTTGTGACACAGACCTGGGCTTTGCGTAGTCGCTGTAATTCGCTCGTTTTGGCTCGACGCTCCAGTGTCCTCATCTTCATCAGCTCCAACTTCTCAGCCTCAACAGGGTCTGTCGGCACTGTCTGGAACTAAAAGAGTCAGTATAGTAAGCACACCGCTTGTTAAAATGTAGCAGCTCGCAAACTAAAATGAAAATATCAGCTCCTTCTTACTTTCTCATCAAATAAGTCAATATCTTGTCCAAACATATCATCCTCGTCGTCGTCATCGTCGTCATCATCTCCTTCGACACCCTCCTCTGAGGTGCTGTGAACATGTCTGAATGTTGTTTCTGTTGTAAAAAGACAAGAAAGATGTTGTAACAATCCTGACCAAGATCTGAAAAACACCACAGCAAAGGTGTTTTTTCCCCCTGCATCTACTTTTCTCCACCAAAGATCAAAGAGAATACGAATCCTCAACTTACCCACTCTCCCTGGATGATTGATGAGGACGCTGAGCCGAGTGTCTCTGCTGATCCTCGGGGACGAGAGATTCCAGGGGGAAAACTTTGATCGTACTCTGGTCTGTCCGCTTGGCATCTCTTTTCTCTTGAAGCAACGTCGATTCCTCTTCTCCCGGATGTGACTAGCTGTGCTCCCGCTCCAGTAGCCCTCCTCTTCTTGCCCATCCAGGCCCTCTGGTTTAGGAGGGCTTGGACCTCCTGCAGTTGCAGAGGAAGAGGAGCAGGAGGAAGACCCACCAGGGGTCTCTGAGTCAGAGTCCGCACTTAAGCTGTGAAGATTAACCAGCTGGGTTTTCTCCTCATCAGTCAGCTGAAGCTTTCGCAGTGACTGCTTCGGACGGGAATCTGGTGCTGCCTTGGAATTCTCCTTTGTAGGTGTTGGAGAAGAATCTTTTTCTGGAGTCGAAGGGTTAAAAAGGTGGACTGTGCGAGGTTTTGCTGTAGGAGGAGAGGGCTGAGGGCTGGCTATGGTCTGCCTAGAGAGGCGGGGCTTGGGGACAGGACAAATGACTTCAGTTTCCTCCTCAGTGGGTGCTGCTACCTCAGTTTTAGACGGAGGATCGGTCAGAGTTTTTGATGGATGTGGTTCTTGGGATTCCTCTTTGGATTCAAGTATATGGTGGTCCTGTCCTTCAGGGTCATGTTCCTGTGTGTGAGTAGAGGGACCACAGTCCAGAGTGTGCTCATACTCCTCATCGGATGGAGACAGTGTATATTCATCACTGGAAACCCCGTTCTCTTCATTTGTTCCTTTGAGATTTCCTTCGCTATCCTGAAAACAGGAATGGAATTGGAAAAAAAGAATGAAAATGCAAAGAAAGAAATCCCTGTTTAATATGTTTTGGTCCACAAACCACATATGCTTTGACACAAACATTCTCATTAGTTGTGCGTAACTGCAGCAGCCCCCGCAGGCTGACGACATCGGACCAGGCACCAGCAGGATGATGTATCATGCAACAGAATATTGTGTAACATGCGCATTACGAACACCAGGATTCAACATGGAGTCTGGGGCAGCAAGAGGAAGAATGGTTTACATCTGCTCTGTTCTGTGACCCACCTTACAAGATGTTTCAGCCCCGTCTACCAGCAGCAACTCTTCAGAGTGCTGCTCGCAGTAAAATCTCCCTGAGGGGACATCACAGATAAAAAAATGATAAAAGGAGTTGAAAAGTCAGAAGACAAAGTGAATGTTAACATGCTCAAGAGGAAAAACCATGCTGTTTTCTTGAATGATTAATCTCCTTTTAGTCTAAGTGGAAACCCCTTTAAAAAGGGTCTCACTGCAAATTATTAATTACACTAATAAATAAATAATTGGTCCTTTACTTATTGCAGCAAAACCATATCCTAGCTTTGAGAGGACACGTTATACCACAGGTGTGATAGCTGTTGAAAACTAAAAACACAAGTGCTTTATACTCGAGGACTGCTAGATTAGCAAACAAGAGGCTGCTAAAAAAGGAGAACAAGAGACCAGATATTACACCCGATGTGGACAGGAACTGACAATTACAACAGTATCTTGAATGAGTCTCCCAAAGGAGGCACACAGACAGTAAGTACTCACCTGTAGTCTGGTCGAAGGTGTATCCTCCCAGTCTGAGTGTGATGCTGCACTGATGGCAGGTGAAGCAGCTCCGATGGAAGAACTTGCCCTCTGCGCTGATGCGCTCCAGTACATAGACCCTCTGCCCACAGAAGTAACACTCCTCACTGTTTGTCATCGGCACACCAGTACCATGCTCCGACTCGGGCTCAGGATCACGCTCAGGATCAGTCTCAGGCTCCGGCTCCGGCTCCGGCTCGGGAACAGGAGTAAAAGCAGGTGTAGGACTGAGCTCAGGGGACACAGGAGGCACCACCGTCTGAGGGAAAAGGTCATAAGGTAGAGTTAAATTCAGAGAAGCAACATTGGCAAAAACAGGAAGAGAGGACGAATTAGTGCAGAAAGCTTCTAAAGTAGAATTCTATTAGTTGAACACAACTCACACTGTCCTCATCTTCCATCCTCGTCTCTCTTGATCGTTTCTGAGATGTGAGCTTTTCCTGCAGAGAAAATAAGAAACTAACCATCACATGACCCGATTATGCCGAGAACACTCAAACCATTTTAATGAATAACTAGACAACACTTCCCTTGAAATAACAGACTAAAAGAGATGTGAGTCACAGACAGCATGAGAGCACAGAGTGAAGGCCCAGACGTGAACTCCAGCCAACCAGCCAGTGTGTTTGAAAATATCTTTATCAAACATTTCTCTGTGCTGGGTAAACAGTGAACCCTAGTCACAGTGGGCGTACCTTGCGTCTTTGCAGAGAGTTGTGCTTCAGCTTGTTCAGGAAAAAGACAGCTGACTGTGTCTGGGAGAGAGTCAGAGGCTTGGACGATGGCAGGAAGCCTCCAGGTTCTGTAGCCAGCGGAAAATGAGAGAAAGAAAAATGTCACAGAGGGACAGACACCGAATTCACTTTATCTTGTTACACTCGGCTGCAAACCCGAAGACACCTGAACGTTATTGTTGGCCTACTTACAGCTGCGTAAAATATTCGGACTCTGCCTTTTTTAATATCCTTTCAAGCCAATATCTTTTTATGTCGGATACTCTGTCAGAAATATGAATAATCCCTCTTCCTTGTATTTTCTGTAGCGTCACAGCGGCTAAATTTAACTTGTCATTCCACATAAAAACTCTTCAGCTCCAGCTCTAACTACCACTCCCACTCTTTCATCATTCAGATAAGGTTACCGGAGAATGACAGCTCCCCTACTGCCTGCACATCAGTCAGCGGATCCCAAGCAGAGCAGCACAGCATCACAGGCACGGAGAGCGTACATCACACCCACTTCAGCTCATTCAGTGCCTCCAAACGCTGGGCTCACATTTATGCTGTACAGGCTCCTCATGCTACAAAGACTGTAAAAAAAATAAAATACCTCTGCTGCACAGAGAAAACCCTCCTTCAGTGCAGGAACAGTAGATCCCCTTCAAGAGACGCTAGTCCCATCAGACCCCTGATAAGGCAGGTCCACACCGTGACTGTTTGCTCTGTCTGCTGTGCAGGAGAGCAGCCCGACCAGTAGAGGCTGGCTCTGAGCACAGCACTAGCCACTTAAGCCAAATGAATTCTGGGTAACATGCTCTTAAAGAGACAGCAGCGGTTTGATCACTTGCTCAACACCAAACACATTTCAGTGGGAGGACACCTGACCCTTTTACGGTGATGCTAATGCTGTGCAGTGTCTAAGCAACCAAGTTATGCAAGATTTATAGTGCTGTCACCACTAGCCATCTTCAGAAATATATCGGAACATAAATAGCATAAAAAAATGGCATAACTGTGGTATATTCCAAAGTGCTTTTTTGGCTTTTGAGTTCATAATACATATGCAAACCTTTACCCTTTGCTGGCACCGTGAAGGCCTTTTGGATCTGGGTGAGGTAGAGGACCATGGACAACCTGTCTATCTGGCCGCTGTTGGCTAAGTCACTGGCAGACATGACAGGTGGGATGCCCAGCTCGCTCTCCAAGATGCTGAAAGCCAGTTGGTTGTTGTGAACAGCACTAGACTCATCCAGGGTGGACATGTCACTGTGGAGGAATTATTAGTATTAATTATAGGGGGACTTTTCACGGCAAAGATGATCATTACATTAGCTTTTGTTTACTGTTTGGTTAGCCATGGATTGCATTAGGTAAAATGTAAATACTTGATGCTAATTTCTTTCAAAGAACTGGGTCAAATGAATGCCATTAAACCACATAATTATACAGGATCTTACAGTGTGTCATTAGTGGTGTTGTTAGATGAAAACCAAGCTAAGAGCAACTCACATGAGCGGAGGTCTGAAGTGGTGGATCAGAGCACACAGAGCCAGCCCGGACCTCCAGGATTGTGTAAAATCTTTTACATTCACATTCGGATAACCCGCTGTGTGTTTCTGGCACCATTTCAACAACTCTTCAAACCCACTGACTGAATCTGAGAGGACAAACAGACAATTCATCAGCCAAAGCTCTACAACATTCTGTGGTTCCACCATGCCTGATAAGTAAATATGGTGCAAATACATTGTTTCTTTATGATGTGTCAATACCACAAACCACAAAGTGCCTCCTGCTTAACTCAACACAAAGCCGAACAAAAGTGAGAGAGTGAACTATAGTGCAGGCCTAACAATGAAGAACAGCTGACCTTGACGCATGTGAGACAACCTGTTCTTCTGCTTCTTGCTTGATGCATTGGATTTATCAACATCATATAGGTGCTGCACCTAAATGAAAAGACAGGTAGATCAGTCATTACATTCAGAGATCACAGACTAAACAGAATCATTTGTAAATCATATAAAGACATTGGTCAATGCAATCAGTACATTATTGTTATTTACTGTAAGTAAATACAATCAAAACTTAAATTAAGAATATTACTTCGCTGACAATGAATACAGAAAACAGCTTTGGAGCAGTTTCACATTGGACTCAAACCAATGTTTATTTAATCTAAGTATTAGAAATGTGAAGTCTGTTTTGTTAACATTGCTTTACTTGTATGAGACTGTGGCTACTAGACTATAATCTGCATCTTCAAATAACCTTCATGGTGATTAAAGTCACCATGATTCAAATCTGTGTTGAGTAAATAAAGGATAACAGTCCTGACCTGGTTGGTTTGGATGGAGGAGAGGTTCGCTCTCGTGTACCGTGTTGTGGGGTTGATGCTGTAACCAGCGTAGTTTTTGCTGGTGTTTTCTGGTGTGGTCTGGGACAAGACCTGGTAGATGCTTTCTCTGTACATTTGTGAAGAAATTACAGTAATTTAGAGCCACGCACAGCCCCAAATCAATCAACACATGGCAACAGAGATGAACTGAAACCTAAAAGCAAACACTAATAAGGAACGCAGTGTGACTGGGTGAGTTCAGAGATTGTCTGTGCACATTTTTGACTTCACACTAGATTAACAGAAACAGAACTCTTTCTGTAAAACGTTGTTGAATTTATCTGGTATAAACTGAATCTGCAGGTATACACCATAGTAAATGTCTTGCTAGGTTACAATTTTACATCTCAAAATTATTTTAGGGGCAAACCATGACTTCTGTGAAACACCACAAACAGCTGGCGATGTGGCAGGAAGTACAGAAGAAACAGGAAGTAAAGAACTCCAGTGTGTTTTGCATGTTGCTCATGATGTAAAGATGAAATGTGATTTTGGGTATTGTGTGCAGCTAAGTAGATTTATGGAGCCAGCTCACCGTTCAGCCAGGACCTTGAGATGTGGGACCCCCATGCCCCAGCTCCTCACCATCCACGCTGTGTCAAAAGCAGCTAGAAACCCACGGGCAATGCCTGTACCCAGAGGCCAGAAAGGCTGCAGAGAACAGGGCACAAGAATTCATTGTCACACATTAAGATAATCTAATGATGAAGTAGAGCATACACATTTCATACAGTGAGTGATTATCACGCTAGGGAGCTTATTAAAACTTATGGGGCAGAAAAAGAAACAGCTGCCCAGCTTTTCAAACTACATATATACATTATATACACATACAAACACACGTACATCAATAATCAGTCTTTATCTTTATAGCTATGTGAGAGACACAGCGATGCCTTAAGCTAAATGCAGGGCGGCCAAATTTCACACAACTGACACTTTTCACACGTCTATTTTGTCACGCAGCGAAAAACAAATTCAGAACTGCTAACGTTGCAGCACAACTGCAGCGTGATGCAACAGCGAGTTATTCAGAGCAATGGGGGGAAAGCGAGAAATATACACACATTTATTATAGTGTCATTTATTCCCATGCATGCTGCTCAGAGCTAACAGACTGTGGCTCTTCTGGCATCAGCGTCTCTCCCTCTCCTCTCACACAGTGCGCATGCAGGCAGGACAGGTAGTTGCTATGGTTACAAGGACGCTCTGTGTCTCTGTCATGCTGAAAGTTTCTCATGATTCGAGAGGTTTTTAGGTCAATATAGTGCAAAATCATGAATGTTACTGCACCTTAATGCTGAAATCTAGTAGACCTAAAATAACATAATTTTTCAGTTTACATTATAGAGTTGCCAACACGCTCTCATCCTGCCCGATCTCACGCCAAATAAGAAGAGAAACCTCAAAGCCACTTCCTCATGAAAAAATAACATACATGTTAAATATATTTTGTTGTGCGCAGAAGACAAAGTCTGAACACACTTTTTTTTCACAGCCACAAGCACAAGTTTGTGTGGCTTTACTTGAAAGAAGCGCACACACATACTGCTTTGCTCTTTAACTTCACATCTATGAAAAACTGAAATGCTCAAAGAAATACAGCTTTTAAAGCGATTGACAGGTTAGGGTAATTAGGCTCACTTATTGGGCATTTAACCTAGCTCTTATTTATCAGACAGTGCCATCGGTTAATAGCTTAATTTAGCTAAGCAAAGACGCCAGAAGATGAACTGCCTTTGTAGACTTATCAATAAATATGCGTCAATAAACAAATATGACAAACAAAAACATTCCTATTTTAGGTTTCTAGCGTGGCATTGTAGTTTAATAAAGCCTACTTTATTTTCAAAATGGCCCTGAACATGTTTTTCTCCTTTATTTACTTGTCAGACAATGTTTGTACATGTACATGCTCACAATGACGATGCTAAAAGCTGCTATAATATTAACCATCTTAGTTAAGCATATTAAGATGCTAAAATGAGATAATTAGCATTAAGCAAAGCTGATGGGGTTTGCAGGCACTGATGATAGCGCTAGTGTAAAACCAGAATCACCCATGTTTACACAATGTATCCTGAGGGAGACATGAAAGTCTGTACCAAATCTCATGGCAATCTATTATCTATGAAACCACAAATGTTAAGCTCATTTTCTTCTTTCTTTTCACTGGATAAGTTCAACATTTGACCTGCTGGTGGCTGGTGTACATGGTGGCATGAAAAGTCAGGGATTCGTCCCCTGGGGCCCCTGAGGGTATGTACAAACTTTTTTGCCAATCCATCCATAGTTATGGAGGTATTTCAGTCTGTACCTGGTGCCCCTGCTGTGACAATAATGGGAACTAGGTGAAATTTACAGGAGATTACTAAAAAGGTTGCCCCTACCTCCACCAGGCAATCTCCCACAAGCCCAATCAACAATTTCTTCCCCCTCCTCTCCCTGACCAGAGAGGCATTCTCAGCACGGTGCATGCAGGTGAAGTCGAACATGGCCACGTCTGGCCGGCCGGCATTGCTCAAGGCAAACTGGAGGTCAGGCAGTTTGCCACCGGTGGAGAAGAAGGCAGCATCGTGGGCATAGAGGCACAAAGCCTCGTGATCAACGTTTGCAGGCGCCAGCAGCTCCTCTGCATCGCTGTAGTCCTGTAGAGAGAGAGTGAGAGGTGCAACATGATGAGTCATATTACCTTTTCTGATGCTGAGTGACAAGTCTTACTTGAATTACTGCATTAGCTAAAGGTCCAGGCTGCAGAGAAAGAAGAGATGATTGACAGTTTCTCTCTTCAGCATTGCTGTTACATCCATCTGGTTTGTTTCTTTTTCTTTACTGGACTGAGAAACAACTGGTGCCAATAAGAATCACACTTTTTCTTGGTAATGGATGTGTTGTTCTCACCTGTTTAATGACCCCCTTCTTCAGCAAGCTCTTCTTCTTGGCAGTCATGACAAAGTAGTGGGTGTCGTCTTTGTAGTAGACAATATTCTCCAAATCAATACCTGGAATGGAAAATGGAGAGAGAGCATGGTGAGTATAGCAAGACAGTGAGCAGTGTAGGAGAGTGGGAGAATTAGGAAGCCCAGACACCCAGAACATTTTCTATTTAAGAGTGTTATTGTTCTATATCATTAGCTTGTTTGCTTAGGCTTTTCTAATAGTTTAACTGGAGGGCAGTGGAGCAGAGGGAGACACATGGAGGTTAAAGAAGAATTCAAAAGTCGTTCAACTGGTTGCGATCGAGGTTATAAAGGTGAAGCATCATTGTGCCGAAAGTGCAGTGCGTGCAGAGTGGGAAGGGTGGATTTCATAATGCTTAATGCTGCCACAGGAAATTAACTAAGCATTGGAAGAGAGATGAACAGCCTTGCTGCTCTTTTCACACTTCACATTAAACCCAACCTGACAGTGTGAACATTCATTTCATGCCTTTAGGGCTGCATTCAGTGAGGCACAACAGAAGAACAATGAGATGAAAATAAAAGCACTCATGTTCTTATTAGACATGTTCTGCTTTAGTGACTCTACTTCATAATTCATGTTCTCACTTAGTGCAAGCCCAGCAACAAAATAAATTAATCTATAGCATGTCCTCTTTTCTTGCTTTAATGTTTAAGCAGCAGACAGCTGGTTCACTGTAAATCAAGATGTCCTCCATCCACCTGAACTTGACAGTAGAGGTCATATGGATTCCTACCCGTCTCAGAGAGCAGGTCTTGGAAAAACTTCTGGTTGTAGATGCGCGCCACACCGCTGATCTCTGCTGCTTGGGACTCAGCAGCCGTGTTTCTGTTGATGAAGTTGGCTGTGATGCCGATAGCCAGCTTGCCTCTCAGCTCCTTGTGCTTAAAGCCTGATAGTTTGGGAAAGAAGAAAAGAACAAACTGGCCTGATGAAAGCTCACTGAATACGGCTGCTTGAGGAAGTTTGTTTTTGTGTAACAGCCGGGCCTTGCAACATTTCTGTGCCCCCTATTGCGCCAGTGGGAACAGAAGTGATTTAAGAGTACATGTATTGTTTTTCTCACCATCAGGGACAAACCTGCCTCCTCCAGCAGAGATGAAGACATCAAACTGGAAGGCTGCAGCAGGATGAGACCCAGGCTGCAGCTTGGCCATCCAACCTGTCAGAAACACATCAAACTTTCATGTTCCTTGCCCCTCAGCAGCTTTCATAATAACTTTACTGCTTTACATACCGCTGCTTGATAACTATTTGCAGGTTCATAAAAACAACAACAACTGATGGTGATATACTGAGCAAAACTAGTGGGAACAGTGATTACTGGTTGGGAGATGTAAATACCGTTTTCTCCTGAGGGCTCAATCAAGCCCTGAAACTCCACTCCGGTGTGCACCTCCACCCCGAGGAGGAGGGACACTTTTAATAGAACCAACTGCAGCTGACGGATGCCTGGAAAAACACACATGTATATTTCATTGGAAATGTGTGAATGACATAATCAAGATACTAAATATACAGTCAGTGCATGCAAACAGAAAGTTCAAGGAAGCCAGGGCTGCAAATAAGGGTTACATTCATTACTGATTAACATGCTTATCAGTTTCCCAGAGCCCAATTTCCTTGTTTAGTCTGAACTGCAAATCTCACATTGTACAAGCCATTTTTGGTTGATAACTGATCGGTTAGTATTGATCAGTTAATAAATAAATGGTGATTCTGCTAACGTCCGAAGTTAAGTAACTTTCTGAAGGGTGTGTTCAGTGAGCTACAGAGCACGGACAGAGAACAGACAGAGAACAGTGGTTCTTCTCTGGGTCTCACATCTTGGTTGAGAAAAGAAATAGACTGAGCTGCAACCAGCAGAGATGCTTATCTTTGCTTGTTTCCATGGTACAGAAGAGCAAATAAATAACAACAAAAAAAGATCAGTATCAGTGCATCCTTACTGGTAAGCTCACTTCTGTCTAACTCCACATGAGCAGATCTTTTTCATTTTCAAACCTGTAGTCTTCATGCAGCTCCCTAAGGCCTGTAAACAATCTGAACCTCCGTAATAGAACATGCATTCCAAAAGGATTGGAAATCACATATGCACTAAGGCTCCAAAGGCTGCATTTCATAGAGGTGTCCTGTAATGGCCCTGTTAATGCAATAAGGTCATTTAATCCATTTTATACTCTATTTCTATGCCCCCCTCCCTTCCCCTTCATCAGACACCAACACGCATAAATTAAAACTAAATAATGTTGTAGATTTATTTTCTGTTTGTCACTGAATCGATTGTTCACCTAATCATTTCAGCACTAATGGGAACACTTCAAAACAACAGCCGACCCGGTACACAGTAAACGCAGTCATTAGTCACTCACTGATGTGATCCAGAGACCCGGTGCAAAATTTGCCGTAGAACTTCTTGGCTCCGAGCCCACGGAGGTCGACGATTGTATAGGGCCACAGGTGGAGAACATTGTTCCTGCTGAAACTGTCCCTCTTCTCCAGCACCACCACCTGAGCCCCCAGCAGGGACAGTTCGATGGCTGTTCTCAGGCCACATGGCCCAGCACCCAACACAAGGCACTAAGAGAGGCGGGGCGGAAATCAGACCAACAGCTCGCATGGGTGACATGATGCTAATCAAAGTGTGATGAAATCAGATACAACTAAATGTTTTCCTGCATTACTGTGTGGCAAGCAGGGCAAAGTTTAAAATGCAGCCATGTGATGATTTCCTTTTAAACCTCAAGTACTCATCCATAGTCACTCCACAGTTGATTATTACAGCTGTATAGTAAAAACATGTTGTTTGAACAACAGATATTATATTTGAATTGTGACATTTGTACCAACATTTATATTAAATATGTATACTTAAATCAGACAATTATCTTGACAAATGATTGGAGGGTTTCAGTATTTGTCCCAGAATTCAGAACCTTCACATCCCTTTCAAATATCACTGGTACCTTGGTTTTTGTGCAGGCCTTTCCTTGCTGGTAATCAGAGTGGGATGCCCTTTTGTCCAGCTTTGTCCACAGGGCTTTGGCCTTCCAGTAGTTCAGTCTTTCCTTTAACTTGGTGTAGAAGCTCCTGAACTCCTTGGGATTGATGTCCAGTTGCCTGCAGAGCTCAGCAAAGTGGCGCTTCACATCCTTACAAGTCTGGGCTTGGACAAACAGCTCAAATGTAGCATGAGAAGGGTTGGCAGGGTCCTGGCTCGCCATAGCTGAGGATGATGTTGACCCGGTCCTTTGTTCACTGAGCTTCTTGGTTAACTGTGAAGAAGGGAGGTTTTATAGCGGTATTAGAACTTCCCACATGGAAATAACTGGGCTGTTTACTGATAGGTTTACTGTCAGTGATCAAAGGGTTACAAAGTCCCAGTTGTGTGCATTTATAGAGGTGGTTCAGTCTTCTACCCTCTGCACTAAGGGGAAGTCTCCTCCTCATGTTCAACTAATTATAGTCCAAAAGGCTTAAATGTTGTGGACTTCCTCGTCACCTGGTTGGCTGACTCATTACTTCCTTGCTGTGGTCTCTGCGGCTCTCTATCTCTTTTCTTTATGACAACTGCTCTAAAGTGAAAAACCCCACCCACACTGTGACACAGCGCCTCAGGACGTGTGCCTGCTACAGTTTCTGTACGGAAGAGTACACAGTTTAATGAAACCATGACTAAAAGGCATAGTGAGAATGTCTTACAGAATCACACAATCGCACATACATTCAGACAGAACTAACACACGTAGGGCTGCATCTGATGATTATTTTCTCCGTGAATCCATTAATGGTTTGGTCTACAACTCGTCCATCATAATTCACTCCAGCCCCTCCAGCCAGCTTTGTTCACCCAACAGTCCAAAGACTTGAGGTATTCAATTTACTAAAAACGTCAGACGAGGAAACGCAGACATTTCTCCCATCCGAGAACCTGGAACTAACCTTGACTTGACTAATTGTTGCAGCTTTAAACACAAGTGCACAATTAAATCTATTTACTTTAATTACAATTTGCCTGGATTCATCAAGATGGAACCACAGAATTTGGTAAAAGTGAGAGCCGTCAGTATGTTGTAATACAGTAGCTTTCCCAACAATGCCTAACACTTAATAAACAACAAATATAGACACATTGTACAGCAAACACATTGTAATCAAGTCTCCAAACTCACAATCTATTGTCAACATTTATTTAAGGTGGGTTATTCTCTGAACCTAGTGGGACCACAGACAACATGCTAATCTTTGATGTAAATATCAGACTTGCATAACAATAAAAGCACTGCTCCCACAGTACACAGCATAACACTGTTCAAGCAGGGACAGTTACAGCTGGTTTGACATTTCCTGTAAGTAATACTCATGCCTCACTTCCTGCCTATGACAACATGAACAACAGCACACAAACTCCCCTCTGCAGCTCCTTCTGCAGCCCTTGGCCTCCACCTGAGACGCTGACTCTATAATTACAGTCAGACCACTTCAACGGGAGTGTGCAAGACTCTGCTTGTGTGGGAACCTGAAGGAAACTGCACTTAAACTGCTGTTAAGACCAGCATTCCTCCTTCGCATGGTTGAACCACCGATGTCTGCAGATATTATTGAGAAAGAATGTCACCGTGACACAGCGGACAGCATGACAAGAAACACAAAACAATCTTCCTGTTTAAAAGAACTAGAGTCTTCCACTCGAGCAATACATCCTACAACTGTGGAGGTGTTTGATTGGCCGACAGGGAGGCCCAGATGATACAGAGGCTTCGGTATGAAAGCATAGCTCAGGCGAACATAACCCAGCCTATATTTCTCGGGAGCATTTCTGAAGGTTAAACGTATTCAAAATCATTGCACTGCCATATTATGTTCCCCTGTTTATTCATTGTAGTGTGGACACAACAAGAGCAAGAACAGAAGCCTCCGGACATGTACGGTGTCGAGTTACCTTATGGTCTGTAATGATTAAGATTGCAGCAGAGTAAAGTCTCCCAACAGGCTGCGAGTGGAGCCAATGTGTTCTACCAGAGACAAGGAAAAACCAAAGAATAAGATGCCCTGTGAAGACAACCTGTCAAAAGTAAAAATAACTCACAGGATCAAATTGAAACTTTAATCTAATCCCCCGAGGAGGCTGCTGTATTAATACCCTGTCTTTTAAGAGATGCCTGAAAAGATGCACAGCAGCATTAGAACAAACAGAAAAGTTTCTCGTGGTTAGAAGCACCTTCTGTGACACCTCTATATATAGTTTAAGGGTGGTCAGGCTGAGTTAAGCATCATCTGTGGCAAAGGTACAACACACACAAGCACACACACACACACACACACACACACACAGTCACCATAAACATACACATTTTTATTCTTGACCAATGTTGCAACACGCTGCTTTAATTAATCACTTCAAAGCCAAGTACAATTTGATTGATTAATCACTCGCAGCTGCTAAGATGAGTCAGACGACCATGACAGCATTTGGTCTCCTGTAATAAATTTAGTTCCAACATGGTGGTCTTACTCATTTAATATGTGGCCTTTGCTGTCTGATGTATCTCCCTGAGGAGCAAAGTGTGGACTCAAGTCTTTAACTAAAGATTACAACTTCAAAACCAATGTCTTTTGACTTAACTTGGACCTTTTGATTTGGAATTACTTGGAATTCCGACCATTGAAAATGATGTAATGAATAATTCATAGGCTCTTTGAGTCAATCAGACAGAAGCCAATCACGTTGCATGAGCATGAGATTTATTTGAAAGCACTTCCTATTATTTATGTAAAAAAAACTCGGGACTTGAGGTTTACTTGTGACCTGCAAAACAATGACTTGTTCGGCCTCTTATTTAAAGATATGTTTTATAAATTAATTAAATTTTCCAGTAAAATAACTTCCTCTGATGTTAACGCAGTCTTTATTTCAAATGGCCCTTCATGTATATGAACTATTGTAGGAAACCCTGTACTAAGTAGATACATTCACAAAGTTTTCATCCATCCCATTTGGACTGCATTG